AGAAGATTGCATAATTTCCTGTGCATGAGCACAGGAAGACCTCTGATTTGGTCCAGGGCAAACAACACTGGCCTAAATCTGGTTAGTGTACGGTGCTGTACTGAATCACAGCAGCGCAGGGTCGGCGAGCATGTCCGTGAACATGCTGGAGTGCGGATCACATAAATATATGTGATTTTGAGCAGGGAGTTTAACTGGTTAAACCAGAAACCAAAAATTTAATATTTTGCAGTTTACCAATCATTAGGTGTAGTGGATGCATCCGTTTTCTTTTTTTCCCCCTGTTTTCACCTGGTGAACATACCTCCTGTATTAGTGTCCCCACTCTGGATGAAGGAACACAGAGGCACCTTTGGACAGCAGCATTGTTAATCTGGGGGGAGTGTTAGATGGATTAGTGGATTTAGATACACTAACAAATTGAAGACAAACGGCAGCTCGCACTGCAGTTACAGCAAACAGTTTTTCTTTTGTAATAAAAGTTATACATGAATTAATAAAAGCTGGGGTTTTGGGGGTGCAGGGGGTGACTTATCGGAATCTGGAAATATTATTACCCCTTACACATTCCTGTGGTAATGTCAATACTGTGATTCAAAGTAGTTAGTTGCAAGGTAAGAAGGTTGTAAATCCAGGTTTTGCATTCTCCTGAGCTTTCTGGGCTCTGCCCCCCGCCATCCCTCTGCTTCTAATAAAAAGGGGAAGGGCTCTGCTCAGATCTCTGACCCATGACCTGCAGAGGAAGAGAGAAAAGGCACAGCAGAAAGATGTAACCATCGGCAACATTCTGAGCACCTTTAAGGGATATTTACTTGGAACCAGGACTTTTCCAAACTATGAACTCTTTCCTTGGAAGGTATGCATTGGGCAACCTATGTTTAGTTACTTAGGGATTGGCTGTTGTTGCACTGTTGGACTGTACTGTTGAGGATACTCAGTAAAGTTCCATTAACCATTTTATGCCTGGTCTGACGTTCCTGCAAATAGGGTGCATAGGGGTATAAGGCATATCACAAAGAACAGGGCCTGTTACACACAAAGAGGATGAAGAGAAGGACATGTAGTTACTAAAAGTAACCAACACAAGGGAATGATATAGCAGCCAAACAGCAGGAGTATGGTACCAGCAAGGGAGATGGGTTCTCTGCATAGTGGGGGGAGCGGTATGTTTTCTTCCCGAGCGGTCGGCACTCCAGCTAACTGGAACTGCATCTGGGACCTCAAGGACTGCATCTGAGACCTCAGGTACTTAGCCGCAGGTACAGAAGGAGTTAACCAAGTTAAGTCGTGCACACAGGAGGCTTACACGGTGTCATGCAAGAACCTGTATTCTATCACTGGAAGGGAGGTGATAGAGGAACCGAACTGGTAGAACGGGACTTTGCTCCATGGTGTCTCTTCATTCCAAGCACAGGTGTACAGTATGTATTGTGAGAAAATGTGGTGTGTGCAGCAAAATCCTAGGGTATGATACAGATGTACCACAGGTGTGTGACTCACTTCTAATTCAGGGTGCCCTTAATGCTGAGTTTGCAAAAACGTGGCCCTGCCTGGTCACAGGCATTAGTGAGCGTGTACATTGGAGGTAGAGGGTTAAGCAGGCCATACATTATGCAATTTTCTTTCCTGGAACCACGGGGTTGCAGGAAAGAAAATTGATCGATTCCCCAATAAGCACAGTCAGTATTGATGAGGTATCCCTCCCACAGAGCTATTGTGATTACTGCTAGTGGCTATAATAGCTGCTAGCAATAATCCCATGAAAAATCTGACACCTGGTTGTATGCAAGTTGTAAAACAATTGACTACAATCAGCCTGCCCATAGATGGATAAAATCCCAGCCTGTCCCTGTTGAATCGGGATTCAAACCTTCTATGACCAGCTTAAAGACTGTGGTACAGGCAAGGTGGCCCAGCCCACACACGATTTAAAGAGGTTCTAATTATTGGCACCTTATCTGAAACACCCGATTCCAAATTTATGAATCTGTTGTGGTGATAAATGTAGGGGTATACTTTTTCTATATGACCAATCTGCATTTTTGTTAATTTAGATGATGAAAATGAATACACTATGACAATTTTATGTGTAAATTGTTTAAGTATATCACCTTTATCTATAGGCACTAGTTGAATCAAGAATTACTGTTTGCCTGTTCAGATATGCTGAAAAAAATTAAGGGCAGTTGGCTGATTTCACATTTTGTGGACTTTCACGTTGATATACAGTCATGGGCAAAAATATTGGCACCCCTGCTTTTCTATCAGGTAATGTACATTTTCACCCAGAACATTTTTGCAATTTAAAATGTTTAGGCATTTTTTTATGTTTATTTCTTTTGTTTATATTGGTATGACACAAACTGCCAAATCTGACACATTCCAAAACTCTAAAAGTGGACTGGACAAAATTATTGGCACCCTCAATTTAATGTTTGGTAGCACACCCCTTGGAAAAATATTACTGAAATCAAACGCTTCCTGTGACCATCGATGAGTTTCTTACACCTCTCTACTGAAAGTTTGGACCACTCATCTTTTGCCAACTGCTCCAGGTCTCTAAGATTGGAAGAGTTCCTCTTCCCAACTGCTGTTTTGAGATCTCTCCACAGGTACTCTATGGGATTGAGATCTGGACTCATTGCTGGCCAGTTCAATACTCTCCAGCTCTTTGTCTTAAACCATTTCTAGATGCTTTTTGAGGTGTGCTTTGGGTCATTGTCCTGCTGTAAAACCCCCATGACCTCTGACGGAGACCCAACTCTATGACACTGGGTCCTTCATTGCACCCCAGAATTCTTTGGTAGTCTTCAGAATTCATAATGCCATGCACACGGTCTAGACATCCAGTGCCTGAAGCAGCAGAGCAGCCCCAAACATCAGTGAACCTCCACCATGTTTGACTGTAGGGACTGTAATCTTTTCTTTAACCCCTTGACACTGACCGCACGCAAATTAGCAGCCTCATAGAACTGGATTTTTCTGTGGGGCCACTAATTTGCGTACATGTCTTTCTGCTGGGAGCGTGCCACACGGCGCATTCCCAGCACAAAGAACAGGGTGTCACTGAGACCCGGGTCCCCGTCTAATGACCGGGACGTGGAACTCCTATTTCCAGGTCACCTGATCACTGTGATAGCCTCTGGTTGGCTGTCACAGTGATCAGTCACTGTGAAGCCCACCCCCCTGTTTTCTCTCTCTGAATGGAGGAGAGAGATACAGTGTATCTCTCTCTGTCCTTTCAGAGAGAAAAAAACAAGTGTGTGTAGAAAATAAATAAATAAATTAATAAATACAAATAATAAAAAAATAAACAAAAATACCTTTTTGTTTGATCTCGGCCTCTGCCAGGGTTTGTGTTTTGATCAGGGTCAAATGTCAGGGTCAGGTTTTTTTTTGGGGGGTCAGTTTTTGTTTTTTACATTTTTAAATTAGTATCAGTGAAAGTTAGTGGGCTGTACTGTACTATGGGTACAAACAACTAACATACACACATGTGGTATCATTGCGATCGTCAGAAGCAGAAGAAATTATTTTGGGCTGTTTTTTGGTTGTAGGTTATGGTAGTAGCAAGAATTATACAGATAACTTTAAAAAAATGTTTTTTTTTTTACTATTTTGGGCCAGTTTTCCTTTGGTAAGAAAAAAAATCAGGAGATATCCATTACCATTTACCACCAAATGAAAGCCCAATTTCACAAAGTAGTTGTGATGATATGTACGGTTGCAAAATTGTGCTTAGGCATTTAGATTTGTTTTACCTTTAGGCGTGAAGGGGTTAAAAGCCTTGTTTCTTTTTCTGAAAATGGAAGAATGATGGGCTTTACCAAAAAACTGTTTCTTTTTCTGAAAACAGAAGAATGATGGGCTTTACCAAAAAACTGTAATATTGTTTCATCCGTTCACAGCACATTCTCCCAGCTAAGTTTGGCAAACTCCAATCTGGCTTTTTTATGTTTCTATGTCAGCAGTGGGGTCCTCCTGGGTCTCCAACCATGGCATCCTTTTTCATTCAGATTGCCATGTATAGTGCGAGCTGACACAGTTGTACCCTGTGCCTGAAGCTCAGCTTGAATTTGACTAGAAGTTGACCGAGGTTCTTTAACAACCATTCAAACAATCCTTAAAGAAATAGTTATTTGTAATTGTCTTGTATATTTCTCTATTGCTCGATTCTATGCCGAGTATTTGGTATGTGAAGTGTACTTTTCTTCTTTTTCTATATATATTATCTAATTCTTTGTAATTTTTTTTTTTTTTGTCTCTGATAAAATCTGGTTAATAAAAATTACCTGATTCAGAAAAATAATCCTCCTTGCAATCTTTAATCAAGTTTTTCTCTTTTGTCCATGTGAAATTAGCTACAGTACTGTAAACTTCTTGACAATACTGTACACAGTGGACACAGAACATTAAGATCTGTTAACTGATACAGGCGAGTTTAATTACAGGAGCATCACAAACTTGGGATGCAATTATTTCTTACAATTTTGAGAAGGTGCCAATAACTTTGTCCAGTCCATTTTGGGGGTTTTATGTGGAATGTATCAAATTTGGCTTTTTGTTTCTCTACTTTTTTGTGTCATACCAATACAAGCAAAAGAAATAAACACGAGAATGCTTAAACATTTGTAATTGCAACAATTTCTAGGCGAAGTGGTGCATTATCTGACAGAAATGCAGGGGTGCCAATAGTTTTGTCCATGACTGTACCTTTTGATGGGCTTTGCTTGTATAATTTAAATTGCACTTTTTGTTGTCTGATTGTCATATGGGTGCACTTATTTACTATTGTTGAAGGTTTGGTTATATGATTATACTTTGTTCCAATTTTAAAGGGACAGTGCACCAATTCTTTATAAATTCATTTTTGGCCAGTATTTAGATGGTTTGAGTGCTGCTGTTCTTATCTTTAGACTCTTTGCACAAATACTTTTTCTTAGTAAGATGTTATGGTAATCACCCAAAATTCTGAACACTCTTTCCATTTGAATCATTAGGCTGCCTCCTCGTATGGATTGGGATTTCATTAGTTCTTGTCAAAGATACCACAGAATCTGATACTACAGCAGATCCTACCATGGAGCCTTCAGTGACCCCCATGGATGCTACTACAAACACAACAATTGGTAACATTACATAGTTACAATGGTAACCTATAAGTCTGTATGACTTCACATCTTCTGAGCACTGTGTACTCCTATTTGAACAGGGGCAATTTAATATAGCACAGATAGGCCTTCTTACACACAGGATACCTGATTTTAAAAATCAAAAACAAGTTTTTTCATTTATGCTGTTTCTGTTTTCCACATACTTAAAGTGGTTCTAAAGGCTAACGTTTTTTTAATTTAATGCATTCTGTGCTTTAAAAAAAAAATTAGATAAAAAAAACTTCTGAATGCAGCTCTCTACTTTCCTTAGCCTGATCTCCATCCAACAGCACTCTCCGCTCTCTCCTTCCTCATAGGATCAGAGCCAGCAGTGGGAGCCATTGGATCCCGCTGCTATCAATCACAGCCAGTAGGGAGGGAGCAGGAGGTGTGGCCAAGCCACACTCTTGTGTGTCATGAGAAACACAGAGCTGATTCTGGAACAAGCAGGCACGAGTGTCCCCATAGCAATCAGCTTTCTATGGTGGCCACTCGGTGAGAGGGAGGAGCCAGCAGGGGACCTGAGAAGGGGAGGATTGGAGCTGCTCTGTTCAAAATCACTGCACAGAGCAGGTAAGTATAGCATGTTTGTTTCTTTGTTTTATTTTATATATATATATATATATATATATATATATATTTATTTCAGGTTCTTATGTAGCACTGTCAATTTACACAGCGCTTTATATATATATATTGTACATTCACATCAGTCCCTAACCCTCAAGGGGCGTACAATCTAAGGTCCCTAACTCACATTCATACATACACATACTAGAGACAATTTAGACAGGATCCAATTAACCTACCCGCATGTCTTTGGAGTGTGGGAGGAAACCGGAGTACCCGGAGTACCCGGAGGAAACCCACGCAGGCACAGGGAGAACATGCAAACTCCAGGCAGGTGGTGCTGTGGTTGGGATTAGAACCAAGGACCCTAGTACTGCCAGGCGGAAGTGCTAACCATTTAGCCACTGTGCTGCATATATACAGTATATATATATATATATATATATATATGCATTTATATATGCATTTATATATATCTTACATATATCAGTTTAATTTAGTCATTACAGTAAATGTTGTTTGCACAGAATGTAGAAAATCAAAGTTTTACCCACACCATCTAGAAATTCAAACACTAGAAAAAAGGAGTTGGGTAGGAGGCTGCAACAAGCAGACTCAATGTCCATATGGTTTTAATGGTACCACATCCTTTCGAAAAAAAAAAACTAAACTATCAAAAAAAGCCGACCAACTAGGAACCCTACCAACTAACACTACTAAGACTTTAAACCACACCAAATTGTATGAAAAATTAGATGTTTATCGTACAAAGCTTTTAAAAGAATATCTATTAAAACTAGCATTCCAACAGCATAGGTATTATATAAAACCGCAGTAGATGTAATTAATATTTAGCAAATAGGTATAAACCCAGATGATCATAATGCAGGTGCATATGCAGGTATCTCCAACATGTTTCACAGGGGCAATGCATGCTTCTTCAGGGAGAACTACTATTGGGTTCTATGAATTATAAACAAAATACACAATCAGATAGGTACAATACCAATATCCGTTCAATACATTCATAGAGAGGCAAAAGTATCCACTTTGATGTAATCTGCTCAAAAAAATTAAAGGCACACTTTTTAATCAGATTATAACATCAAGTCAATTAAACTCCTGGGATAGTGATCTGGTCAGTTAAGTAGCAGAGAGGGTTTTTAAACAGTTTCAGCTGCTTTGGTGTTAATGAAATAAACAGGTGCACTAGATGGGCAAGAATGAGACACAACCCCCAAAACATGAATGGTTTTACAGGTGGAGGCCACTGACATTTTTTTCCCTACTCCTCTTTTCTGACTGTTTTTCACTAGTTTTGCATTTGGCTAGGGTCAGTGTTACTACTGGTAGCATGAGGCGATACCTGTACCTTACAGAGGTTGCACAGGCAGTCCAACTCCTCCAGGATGGCACATCAATATGTGCCATTGCCAGAAGGTTTGCTGTGTCCCCCAGTCTCAAGAGCATGGAGGAGATTCCAGGAGACAGGCAGTTACTCTAGGAGAACTGGACAGGCCGTAGAAGGTCCTTAACCCAGCAGCAGGACCTTTGTGCAAGGAGGAACAGGATGAGCACTGCCAGAACCCTACAAAATGACCTCCAGCAGGCCACTGGTGTGAATGTCTTGGACCAAACAATCAGAAACAGACTTCATAAGGGTGGCCTGAGGGCCCAACGTCCTCTAGTGGGCCCTGTGCTCATTGCCTAGCACCATAAAGTTCGATTGGCATTTGCCATTGAACACAAGAATTGTCAGGTCTGCCACTAGCGCCCTGTGCTTTTCACAGATGAGAGCAGGTTCACCCTGAGCACATGTGACGAACGTGAAAGGGTCTGGAGAAGCCATGGAGAACGTTATGTAACATCGTTCAGCATGACCGTTTTGGTGGTGGGACAGTGATGGTCTGAGAAGGCATATCCATGGAGGGATGCACAGACCTCTACAGGCTATACAATGGCACCCTGACTGCCATTAGGTATTGGGATGAAATCCTTGGACCCATTGTCAAGCCCTATGCTGGTGCAGTGGGTCCTGGGTTCCTCCTGGTGCATGACAATGCCCGGCCTCATGTGGTTCGAGTATGCAGGCAGTTCCTGGAGGATGAAGGAATTGATACCATTGAATAGCCCCCATGCTCGCCTGACCTAAATCCAATAGAACACCTCAAAAATCTGCTTGATATTTTGTTTATTAACTGTATTCCTTTGTTATACAGGTCAGCCAATGGAGTATATAGAACGTTCTGTTCCTACGGACAACAGCTCAATGAATGTATCTAATGTATGTATCTAGTATATTTTGTGGTATATTTTAGATGAGGAGATTAAATTTATCATCTCCATAAACCCCTTTCACATTGGTGTTCCGTCTGTCTGTATTTGTCTATTGACGGATGAATAACAGACAGCAATTAATTTCTATGGACAAACAGATGTAAACAGAACAGCCAATGTTCAGTTCTGTTGAAACATAAAGGATCTAAACAGATGCCGACTGTTTACATCTGTTTCGTTTATGGCTGTTTTTAGGCAAAAAAACATTTCTTAGTTTATACAATTGTCATCTGTGATTGGTATCTACAACAACTGAAAAAACAAATGCAAAAATGGTTGTAGACTGATATAAACTGAACTGAACTGAATTGAAAACTGAAGTAAGCTAAACTGAAAACTGATGTAAACTGAATCAGTTTTTCTTTGAAAAAAACAACTTAACGGATGACGCCCATGTGAAAGGGGCCTAACAGCTAAACACTTCTGCATATCTCCTAGCTGGCCTTTCTTTTGCTTATTTTACATCTACTGAGGAAAGGATTAGATAGCCTGGTCATTGTCCTATTTTGAGCTATCGTAAAGTTAACCTTACTGAGAAAAATATGTAGGCTTCCATTGGTGACCTTCTTTTCATGTTGTTAACCTTAATGGGTTAGTTCACCTTTACCAAAAAACTGCTTATGCAGATAAGGGGTGTCTATAGTTAAAAACAAACTGTCCAGCTGTCAGGAATGGACTTGCCAATAGTGGTGGGACTCACCTACCTTGTGGGCTGCAGTACCAGGGCTGGCCAGCGGGTGCTCTCAACAACCAGAGGTTCACTTCGGCAATTAGCCATCACCTGGGGCTGATTGGAGGTGGTGTATTTAAGGGATGGCCAGACCTGCAGTCTGTGCCTTGGTGTGTGTTTTTCCATGAGCCCCTGTATCTTGTAACCTGTATTCCTGTTTCTGCCTGACTTGTTGCCGACCCTGCCTGATCCTGACCTCTGCTGACTTCTCCTGTTCGATCCCTGGCTTGTGACCCTGACCATTCTCTGCCTGACCCCCTGTACCTACCTGTCCGTTAGTTGCTGTACCCAGCTCGTGACCTGACTACTCTCCGCCTGCTCCTCCTGTACCTACGTGCCCGATAGTTATCGACCCGGCCTGCCTGACTACGTTGTGCTCTATATGTGTATGTACCTGTGTATCTATATCAGTTTAGGTTTGGGTTTGTTTCACCTTGTTGTATGCATTTGTGTTAGCCTGGTTGCCCGGTGCCTGCCGCCCTGCCTGGTTGCCCGATGCCTGCCGCCCTGCCTGGTTGCCCGGTGCCCGCCGCTCCGCCTGGGGGCCCGGTGCCCACCGGCCCCGCCTGGGGGCCTGGTGCCCGCCGCTCCGCCTGGGGGCCCGGTGCCCGCCGCTCCGCCTGGTGGCCCGGTGCCTGCCGCCCTGCCTGGTTGCCTGGTGCCTGCCGCCCTGCCTGGTTGCCCGGTGCCCGCCGCTCCGCCTGGGGGCCGGTGCCTGCCGCCCTGCCTGGTTGCCCGGTGCCCGCCGCTCCGCCTGGGGGCCCGGTGCCCACCGCTCCGCCTGGGGGCCCGGTGCCCACCGCTCCGCCTGGGGGCCCGGTGCCTGCCGCTCCGCCTGGTTGCCCGGTGCCTGCCGCCCTGCCTGGTTGCCCGGTGCCCGCTGCTCCGCCTGGTGGCCCGGTGCCCGCTGCTCCGCCCGGTGGCCCGGTGCCTGCTGCTCCGCCTGGTGGCCCGGTGCCCGCTGCTCCGCCTGGTGATCCGGCGTCCAGCCTGATGTGCCTCTGTCCAGTGCCCAGCCCGAAGTGCCTCCGTCCGGTGTCCAGCCCGAAGTGCCTCCGTCCGGTGCCCAGCTCGAAGTGTCTCCGTCCGGTGCCCAGCTTGATGTGCCAATCTTTAATATCCCACCAGTCACCGGACCCGGGTGGTGGAACATTTTGCCCAGCTAGGACTGTTTGGAGCGTCCTGAGGCCGCTCCTTGAGGGGGGGTACTGTCAGGAATGGACTTGCCAATAGTGGTGGGACTCACCTGCCTTGTGGGCTGCAGTACCAGGGCTGGCCAGCGGGTGCTCTCAATAACCAGAGGTTCACTTCGGCAATTAGCCATCACCTGGGGCTGATTGCAGGTGGTGTATTTAAGGGATGGCCAGACTTGCAGTCTGTGCCTTGGTGTGTGTGTTTTTCCATGGGCCCCTGTATCTTGTAACCTGCATTCCTGTTCCTGTTTCTGCCTGACTTGTTGCTGACCCTGCCTGATCCTGACCTCTGCTGACTTCTCCTGTTTGATCCCTGGCTTGTGACCCTGACCATTCTCTGCCTGACCCCCTGTACCTACCTGTCCGTTAGTTGCTATACCCGGCTCGTGACCTGACTACTCTCCGCCTGCTCCTCCTGTACCTACGTGCCCGATAGTTATCGACCCCCGGCCTGCCTGACTACGTTGTGCTCTATATGTGTATGTACCTGTGTATCTATATCAGTTTAGGTTTGGGTTTGTTTCACCTTGTTGTATGCATTTGTGTTAGCTTGGGGTTTGGTGCACTGCGTTTATGTTTGTATTGTTAGTCTTAATAAATTGTCTTATTTATACCATATCTGAAGCCTGCGTTCCCTGTGTCAGTCCACACACTTCTGATCACACCTGCATCCCTGTCACCAGCTTTGGCCAAAATTTAGTAATCCCCTTGCTGTAGGTATAGGCCATTTGCGTACCTCATGAAGCCTGACTAGAAACTCCAAGGACATAGTTAACCAATTCAATACTGGGCAATTTTACCCCTTCCTGCCCAGGCCAGTTTTCAGGTTTCAGCGCTCTCACACTTTGAATAACAATTGCACGGTCATACAACATTGTACCCAAACTAAAATTTTATAATTTTCTTCACACAACTAGAGCTTTCTTTTGGTGGTATTTAATCACCACTGAGGTTTTTATTTTTTGCTAAATTAACAAAAAAAGGCCAAAAATTTGGAAAAAAAAAAAGTTTCTTTGTTTCTGTTTGCAAATAAATAATTGTTCTTCATAAATTTAGGCCGAGATGTATTCTGCTACATGTCTTTGGTGAAAATAACCCAAATTAGGATGTATTTTTTAGTTTGTAGGAAAGTTATAGAGTTCACAAACTATGGTATAGATCTGAATATTGATCAATCCTGAAGTACTGACAGCCAATCTAATTTCTTGAGGTCCAAGAATGTCAGAACAGTACAGATATCCCCCAAATGACCCCTTTTTGCAAAGCAGAGAGTCTGACGTACTTCATAAGAGGCATGGCGAGTTTTTTGAAGTTGTATTTTTTTTGTCATAATCTTTCGGAAAATGAAAAAATTAAAAAAATTACTTTCACTATTTTTTTTTTTACATATTGTCACCAGTGCAGTACAGCACCATCATATAACTGGCATGGCGGTGATCGAGATACTGACTGGTGACAGTATGAAAAAAAAAAAATATATATATATATATATATTTTTTTTTATTACATTTTTTTCTTTTTTTTAAGATTTGTTTTTCATATTTCACTATGACCAAAGTAGTACAATGTTACCTTAGTAACATTGTACTACTTTGGGGAAGTGATCAGTATTTTTTTTTTTTTTTTTACACAATTTGCTTATAGCAAAGAATTACTTTGCTATAAGCAAGCATTTACCTGAATGACATTGATTCATTCAGGGTTTTTTTTTTTTTTTTTTTTAGTGCTTAGCTGTGATTTGGCCACAGCTAATCACATGACATGTGCATGTGATTAGCTGTGACCATTCACAGCTAGACACTAGTATACAATGGATGGCATGAATGAAGCCATCCATTGTATACAACTGTCATGTGACCTGCTGTGATTGGTCACAGCAGGTCACATGGTAGCGGCAAAAGGGCCGATACTCAGATCTGTCATCAGCCGTGTCCGAGGTACATGGCCGGTGACAGATCGCGCTGCTGCACCGCTCTGTAGGAGCGCAATCTGCGCATGTGCGGGAGGATGCCATATGGCGTCCACCCGGAACGCTGATGACATTTGCCGCCCGCCATTCGGCCATAGGGCGGGCGGCAAATGGTTAAGAACATTGCTAAGAGAGGCCTAACTGCTACAGTTCACCTGCTGAAAGTCAACAGTAAGAGCTGGGCCTTCCTTAGCAACAACCTTAACAACATCCTGGATGTTTCCAGTCAGGCTTTGTAAGGTACAGAAAAGGATATTATTTAATTATGGATTGTTTTTATCTACAGACCTCCCTTATCTGCATAGGTAGTTTATAGTAAAAGTAAACTAACCCATTTTTAGGGTGAAACATGTAAAATATTCCTGCTACTGCAGTTCTTCTGCCCCGCTCCCTGTGACAGCGGGTCGGGTATCTTCTCCCCACACCCACTGTCACAATTTTAATCGAGCAAGGCCATGCGTGGCTCCGCCCACATGGCTGCGTCATTCATTTACAGAATTCTGTGAATGAATAGACTGCAAGTGCTGACAGCCTTTGTGGCTGACTACTTGTAGTTCTCAATAAACTACAAGGGAGCAGGTGAGCATCCTAGTAGTTCATTAATTCTTCTTGGACTGAAGTAACTGCCTGCCCATATTGGGGGTATGGACAGACAGCTACACTGACTGACTGTCTGCAGGAGCCTGACATTGCATTTTTTTCTTAGGAACCTGTAAACATTGCACCCGCGATCAGCAGATCATGGGTGCAATGCTTACAGGCTCTTAAGAAAAAAAGTTGTAAATGCATATTTTTCTACCTGCAAAAAATGTGCATGTATTATTTTTTTTAACCCCTTGATGCCAAGTGCATGCAAATATGCGGCCTCTCAGCGTCTGGGCCTTGACACCGAGAGGCCGCATATTTGCATGCAATTAGAAAATACATATGTGCTGAGAGCGCGCGCCCTGCGCTCTCCCAGCACACATGTCCGTGTCTCACAGAAAGGTCCCAATCTTCCTTTTTGATCGGGACCTTTTCCGTTCATGTGACCGCCATGACGGTGAATCACGGCGGTCACACATGACCCTAAAACCCTGCCCCCGCCTCCCAGCTTCTGAAACTCTTAAAGAGCCTGGAGACACCGGCGTGAAAAGGTTAAAAGGTGAACTTATGGTTTAAATAAGCATTTGCAAGTAAAGTCGGTGAAATTTAAACTCCTAACATGCATACTTTCTAGGCCAGTATTGAAATATTAGATCAGCATGACAGCCAAATTACAAGCATGGGTGATTAATGGTGGGTTCCATATTTTCTCAGTATATGTTTGCTTTGCATCATTCTGAAATTTTGATTTAAAGCCCGAGTCTGTCTTTGGCATAAAAGTAAAAATGTATGTCCTCAGCCTCTTGTAAACACAGAAAAGCATCTTTGTCCACAATTTTCACCTCTTCTCCATTGCTGTCTCATGAAGATTCATCTGTTGACTGATTCAGCATCACTCCTGTTTTTGGTTGAATGATGCCCCGCATTTTGCAATCTACTTACTGTAAACCCAAACAAACATACAAGAAGAGCAAAAACTAAGTGCAGTAGAGTTAAAAGCTTTAATGCTAAAATCAAATGCAAACTGATCACTCACAAAATTAAAGCGGAAAAGCTATTTCATTCATTTTCAATATTCAAAGCAAACTCGTCTACCCATCCAGCCGTCTCTCCAGGCTTTATTTGGCTAAGAAATCACTCCCTAGCACTTCTGGCCATGGTTATGTTGAGTAGGGACATTCATGTAACATTTCCTTTCTTGGAATCTATCTGCCCTTAGCTCAGGCATGAAGGCAGTAGGCTGTACTTAGCTGAGAAAACCCCTCCTGCCATCCTGAAGACTCCTGGGATGTATGACATCATTTATCTAGGCTTGTAAACTAGGGAGTAACTGAAAACATGTAAAAAAAAAAGTCTAAAACAAGTAAATATGATATACAAGTACTTTCCTATTTACTAATACTAAAGCATAAGGATTAAAAATAGTCAATTCTGATTGAGAGAGTGAAGTTTTCTTTTAAAATAGAAAAGGCGTGTTCTGAACACCCACCAGCATGGCTGGCTCTCTGTGTTCACACTTCTAGTCCTGGACAGCAGTGCTGTCAGGTGGAGGATTACCCGCAGTTGAAGAACACACTGAAATTGATTTACTAAAGGCAAATAAACTGCGCTCTTGCACTCTGCAAAGGCAGTTGCTCTAGAGCAAGATTGTCAATCTGGCGGCCCTCCAGCTTTTGGGAAACTACAAATCCCATCATGCCTCTGCCTTTGGGAGTCATGCTTGTAACTGTCAATCTTGCAATACCTCATGGGATTTGTAGATTGGAAACAGTTGGAGGGCCGCCAGTTTGATAGCCGTGCTCTAGAGCTTAATAAATGAGCAGAAGCTATGCTGACCTTCATCATCCAATCACATGCAAGCAAAAATGCTGTTTTTTTTTCCCTGCATGCGATTGGGTATTCTTTGCAAAGTGAAGCCTTACTTCATTTATTAAGCTCTGGAGCAACTTTATTAAATTAATTCTACTGTCCTTGAGTGGCCAAATTGCTTTTGATTTGAACCTTAACCACTTGGCAGCTGCACTATAGCCGAATACCACCCGGTGATTTCCGTGAGTGCTGTGTCCTACGGACACAACTGATCATGTGATCAGCTGTGTCCAATGACACATCAGATCGCCAGCTAAATACAGTTGCCGGTTATCGGCTGCACTTTTCTCATGCTGTCACAGCATGAGGAAAGTACTGCCAATAGCTGGCAATTGTCAGAGAACAGATCGGCACTGATGATCAGTGCCGCCCAGCAGTGCCACCAACCTGTACCCAGCAGTACCACCTGTAGCAAACTAGCTCATCAGAGTTGGACGCGGAGTTCCCCCTTTTTCTTTTCTTTGTATTGGAAGTATTCCTCTCATTCCCAACCCCCTCCCTTCCTGAGAGGCAAACGTTATCTCCTGACAGATGGTGTGGGTCAACCAGGTTAAGACATCCTGAGTCCAGGTGCCAGGCAGTCTGCTGAAGTGTAACCTTCGTCACCCAAAACTGTGTAGGCCCACACATCATGAAACTGACCAGCAATTAATTGAACATTCCTCAGGTCAACTGTATGTTTCATATCATGGAGTATGAAGCTGTTAGTTTTAATTTGAGTTCCATTGACTCCTCCCAAAACAGCGTAGTCAGAGCAACCCCCCTTTCAGAGGGATTTTTTTAAAAAGGACAGGCTGGCAAGCCTGTTAGAGCTTAACACACATTTCCTGAGTGTAACATTGTAACAGAGGAGATCAAAGACCCTTCCTGCTCTGCACTTGGATCTGCTTACAAACCAAGGCATATTGGCAAGTAACTTAACTCTTTAATTTCCTTCCTATTATCTCTTTGCTGTATCTTTATATGCATATATATATTTTCGTGATATCTCTTTGTAAATATTTTATTGCACCTGTTTGACTCTTTTAGTAATAAATCTTTCTTTCTGAAAGTGTTAAACTGTTTTTAAGCGCTTACTTGCAATTCACGAATTCCTGCCTTTTGAAGAGACGCTACTGTGTTTGTTTAATCCTCTGCCCAATCGGCCTGCGGTGACCGTATTGGACAGGCGACTTTTCAATCATTATAGTGTATATTTGATACGGGAGTTTCCCAGTCTCCAACAAAAGTGATGGTGGCAGTAGAGGGTTAGTTGCGTAATTACCTGACCCAGTAACAAGCGCATTCGGGCTGCAGGCACCGATTGTAGCCCATTAGCTGGACAAACGCTGTGCAGGGTACAGCTGGGTGGGGCCTTGTTACGCGCGTCACACCGCGGTTTTTAGATCGGTTTTGCTTACTTTCCACAAGCTCTTTTATATGAGTTTCTATTGTCAACAGTATTTTGAGTGTGCTTAAAAAATGCTGGTTTTATTTTCAATACTGCAAACCCAGGGCATCGAAGGCCTGCCCCTGCCTTGGGCACACAGGAGAGTATTGCAGAGAAAGGCCCCATGTCATTATGTAGCCCTAAATATAAAAAGTACAACTATTATTCTGTGTTGTGGTTATTATGAAATGTTAACCGTCCTGTTTCTTTTTCTTTTGTCTGTTTGTCACCTAAAATCATTTATATTTGGTATTTCAGGGTTTCCCAACTATTCTACCACAGGTGAGTACACACCTCATTTCCATTCTACATGTAAATTTCAGTTGCTCAGTGTTGTTCTAGAATTTATATAAAGCTTTAAGCTCTATTTAAAGATCTATTGCTACAAAATTAAAAATAAAAAAAAAATACATTTTTCCACTCCTAACCAGATAGGAACATTTATTAACAGAAGCGTAAAGCCTGCAGTATTTTTGTTAGAATGTATTATTTTGTTGTTATTTATTGCCACACTTTTTTTAATTCACTGAAGACATTACCACATTACTGCTTGCACACTACTTGATCAATTTTTAGTATGTGCAGTGTATTAATAAAGCTGTGCTTTTAGGGCTCATTTGGCAAAGACCGTGCTGGGACCGATTTTCAGAGGCATTTTACAGGTGTTAAGGAGTCAAAATGTTGCCTCCCTATGGCTGTTTTACCCCCTAAATGCCCCAGTACTGCTATGCAACTGCATGCACTGCAGACAGTGGTAAGGCGGTTGCAGCACTGCCCTGTTCACCTGAATAGGTTATGTTTGGCGTACAATAGTACCCACCAAACATAAGGGGGGTTTAATTTTACACTTTATTTGGGTGGCTGAGGGGCAGTAAAACCATGGTTCAGCTGCCTGTTTTTACCGCACCCAGGGCATCGAAGGCCTGCCCCTGCCTTGGGCACACAGGAGGGTGTTGCAGAGAAAGGCCCCATATCACTATGTAGCCCTAAATATAAAGAGCACAATTATTATTCTGTGTTTTTGTGGTTATTATGAAATGTTAACCATCCTCCTGTTTCTTTTCTTTTGTCTGTTTGTCACCTAAAATCATTAATATCTGGTATTTCAGGGTTTCCCAACTATTCTACCACAGGTGAGTACACACCTCATTTCCATTCTGCACATAAGTACCTGTTGCTCAGTGTTCTAGAATTTATATAAAGCTTTAGTCTCTATTTAAATGCTCCAAGGAGCAGGGCCCTCCTAACCCTCTTGTATTGAACTGTATTGTTGCTGTATTGTCTCCTGTCATATTGTAAAGCGCTGAGCAAACTGTTGGCGCTACATAAATCCTGTATAATATTAATAACAATAATCTATTGCTACAAAATTTACAAAACAAAAAAAAACATTTTGCCACTCCTAACCAGATAGGAGAATTTATTAACAGAAGCGTAAAGCCTGCAGTATTTTTGTTAGAATGTATTATTTTCTGTTATTTATTATCACACTTTTTTTAATTCACTGAAGGCATTACCACATTACTGCTTGCACACTACTTTTATCAATTTTTAGTATGTGCAGTGTATTAATACATTTTTAAAAATTATAAATCCCACTACACATACTCTACTCTATGTAAGCGTGCTTTTAGGGCTCATTTGGCAAAGACCGTGCTGGGACTGATTTTCAGAGGCATTTTACAGGTGTTAAGGAGTCAATATGTTGCCTCCCTATGGCTGTTTTACCCCCTAAATGCCCCAGTACTGCTATGCAACTGCAGACAGTGGCAAGGTGGTTGCAGCACAACCCTGTTCACTTGAATAGGTTACGTTTAGCATACAATAGTACCCATCAAACTTAAGGGGGGTTTAATTTTACACTTTAGTTGGGCGGTTGAGGGGCAATAAAACCATGGCTCAGCTGCCTGTTTTTACCGCACCCTGTGTGAAACAGACATAAACAAATCCTTATTCTCTAAAAAATAATCTGTACACATCCACTATTTAATGGCCCTGTAACCTCTTTCTTAATGAAATTGTTTCTTACTGTGGTTTTCTGCCTACTTTAGTTAAGAATATATATTTGAATAGATTTTTTTGCCACCTGCCCACGACTGCCTCCTGGCCATTTAAGAAATTCTAAATGCTGATAGGTGGAGCCAGGCATTCTGATCATGTGACCACTGTGATTGGCTGTCAAAGTGGGCACATGATCAGAAAGCTCCTGAACTATTCCGGTACCTGCTGGTAACTGTGCTGGGAGAGCAAAGAGCGCACGCTCTCAGCACAAAAAACTGTTTATATAGGGCTGCATATATGCAGCCTCCCTACGTTAAGGCCCACCCACCAAGAGGGTACCTCCAGCAGACGGTGGTTAATGGGAGTGCTACTGAAGCCTGCTAGCTGATTGTTTAAAGCAGCGGTTCTCAACCTGTGGGTCGCAACCCCTTTGGGGGTCGAACGACCCTTTCACAGGGGTCGCCTAAGACCATCGAAAAACACATATTTCCGATGGTCTTAGGAACCGAGACACCGCTCCTCTATCCGTCTCCAGGCGGTTCCGCCCACATGCAGATACCCCCATATATGAGTACCCGGAGTGATGACATCATCGCGCCAACCCCACCACATACACCCCGTACAAATACAGGTGTATGTGACAGGGTTGGCGCCATAATGTACTTATGTGGACCAGTCACACATGTGTAAAGAGCAGCTACTGTGTAGAAAGCAGCTACTGTGTAGAAAGCAGCTAGTGTGTTAAAAGCAGCTACTGTGTAGAAAGCAGCTACTGTGTAGAAAGCAGCTACTCTGTTAAAAGCAGCTACTGTGTAGAAAGCAGCTACTCTGTTAAAAGCAGCTACTGTGTAGAAAGCAGCTACTGTGTAGAAAGCAGCTACTGTGTTAAAAGCAGCAACTGTGTTGAAAGCAGCAGTATTGGAGGTAAAACGACACTTCATGAACTATAATTACTGGGTAAATGTAAAATCATGTACTGTAAAATCATCAACTACTGCAAAAAAATGAAGTTTACTGTTGTTATATTAAGACTGTTACCCATGCTACACCATGATTCAAGACAAAATTTCATTTATTTGTAATTAGAAAGAAATATTTCACAATATATAATTACATATTGTTTTTGTGATTAATCACTATGCTTTAATTATTTTCAATTTGTAACAATGAAAATACATCCTGCATATCAGATATTTACATTACGATTCATAATAGTAGTAAAATTACAGTTATGAAGTAGCAATGAAAATAATGTTATGGTTGGGGGTCACCACAACATGAGGAACGGTATTAAAGTGTCGTGGCATTAGGAAGGTTGAGAACCACTGGTTTAAAGCGACAGTCAACACTGTGTTTTACATTTCCAAACAGGAGCATAAGGGTGTTTCAAGAAGCTGCTTTAAGTTTATTGATTGCTTCACAAAAGCTTGTTGTTCACACTGGTCTTATACAAGCTGACGCCTGTGTGAACTAGCTCTTATACTATAGCTGTCTGCTTCTGGGCTTGTTCACACTTGCAGCTGGGAAAAGGGGGTGGTAAAAATAGGCTGTTGAGCCATGGCTTTACTGTCCCTGACCACCCCTCTAAGCTAAAACTATGGTCAGACAAACTTGTACACATGCCATGGCCACTATGCTTTGCTTTATGGCCAGGGGAAAAGTAGTACCCCATGCTGCCACTGAACGTAACCCATTCAAGTGAATGAGTCTTGTTTGCAACTGCAAGCCAAACTCTAAGCTTGTGGTGGCAGCATGGTATTCCCATTTATAATCTCTGTTCACCTACAAAAAAAAAAACAGGCATTCTGGAGGCAGTAGTATCACCTCCTGAATGCTTGGTAGCTGCTCCTGTACCCATGCTATCACCCATGTGAATGAGTCCTTCTATTGGAACCTCAATCTAAGCTGTTTGTTAGGAATTATTTACATGTACACATTTCAACTTTAGCTACTGAGCTGTAAAGAACAGGCATTTTTTTTAGCAGGAGATAATCAGAAACTGAAACACATGAGATCAACCCAAAGGATAAGGATGGCAGTATCATACCAGAAAATAAGACTTTACAGAACAGAGCTGAATGAAACTGTTATACTATTTGTATCTTAATCACACAGTACAGTACACAGAACTTGTGTTCATGGACCATGTGTTATATTGTGGCTATCTTCAGGTTATTTGAGACTGGCAAAAAAAATTAATATAACTCCACTGCACTCTGTGAGATTCTATTTTTTTTTCTGCTAGTGTCCTTAAGTGATGGACTAGCTCTCATTTGGAGAAATATTTTTCTTTTTTAAACCATGAAATTTTTTCCCCTGACTGGCTATTCAACAGTTTCTGGCTTGATTACCCTCGGTGTTAGGCACTGGATCCTGTGATAGGTACTCACTGTGGCACGTAGTCCAACGTGTGTAGTTAGCCACAAGTCAAGGGCCCTGGTCCATTTTTATGGTTTCCAGATTTTGAAGACCCCTAACAGGGCTATGCCCACCTTGAGCAAAGCCAGTATGCATTGTGGATTATGTAAAGTACGTTTTTCTTTTATGTTAATACAATGATTGCCTCCCTCTTCTTCAGGGCAGACATACAAACACATAGGCTTGATCTGTATTTTTTACACTCTCACAAAACAATTATAATTCTACACCAAGAATTGCGTTATTCTGGACATTGGGCTGTCAAAAGGTGTCTCTGTTACTCCTCCATCCAGAGTGTAGGCACTCCGATACAGGAGGTGTGTTACTGGCTGGATCACCAAGTGAAGACAAAGGAAAAAAATGACTGCAGCTACTGCATCTAATCATTGGAAAGTTGCAATATATTAAATTTATGGTTTTGGGTTTAATACTGCTTTAATTTCAGCCTTGCACCAATTTCAGGCACACGTAGTGGTTATATAAGTTGTTTCAGCATAATGGTTTCAAGGTTTCTATTCAAACCTATTCACTGTCCCAAAACCAAATGGGGGTGTCCGCCCCATTCTGGACTAAACATATTTTTTTTGTTTACCAAAATCCCATATGAAGTATGCAAGATCTGTCATTGTAGTTCTCAGTGAAAGGGAATAAGTAGACATACAAGATGCCTATCCACACAATCCCCATCTTCCCTATACCTCAATGCTTTCTGAGTTTTGCTGTAGGAGACAAATGCTTTCAAATTGTAACACTGCCATCTCATTTGAGGTATCCTCTGCACAAAAGTGTTTACAAAAGTGCTTGCCCCAATTCTGGCTCTTCAGGGGACCTAGGGCTTTTGGCTAGATAATCAAGTTTACAAAGTCTGCTTTCCCACCACCATCTGGAGTACCTGGGTCTAATCTTGGACACAGCCCAAGCCAGAATCCCTTGGTGGAAAGTTGCTTCCCTAACAACACCTTTCAGTTCACTTCTGCATGAGGGTTCTTGGCTTGATATTAGCCTCCTTCGAGGCAATTCCCTATGTCCAGTTTTACTCTCTACCCCTTCAATCCAACCTACTAATTACATGGGACAAGTTAATCCAATTCTTGTAGCTCCTAGTTCTGTTTGTCCAGCCCAGTAGTTCTTAAAGTCCTTCCTTCACATGCCCTGGAAATTGGTGACATTGAATGCCAGCCTTACAGGTTGGAGCAGAGTTTACAACTCCCTGACTGCCAAGGTGACATAATCCCTACAGAGGTGATTGAAACCTCACATCTTTATTCTGGAACTGAGAGCCATCAGATTATCTCTAGAACACTGAACCTACCTTCTGCAAGGTCACCCAGTCAGGGTGCAGTCACACAATGCCACTGTAGTGGCCTACATAAACTATCAGGGAAGCACCAGACATCAAACTGCCCTTAAAGAAACAAGTCAAATAAATTCCTGGGCAGAAACCTACATTCCAGGTCTCTCAGCCATCCACATGTCTGGAGTGGACAATTGGCTGGTGGATTTCCTAAGCCATCAATGCCTAGACACCTGGGAGTGTTTTCTTCATCCCAGGATCTTTGAAAATCTGTGTCAAAGGTGGGGAAACCATATGTAGACATCTTGGCTTCCAGGTATAACAACAAGCTGAGGAAATGCATGGCCAATACCAGGGATCATCTAGCCTTCACAGTAGATGGTCTTGTGATTGCTTGTACTCCAAGGTTTATGTCTTCAGTCCGATGAAAATCTTTTCTTGACTGCCATGCACGAGAGAGAAGGAAAGGGTTCTGGTGATTTTCAGTGTCTTGGCCTTATCCATACAAATCTGATTTACTTGCCAAGGATCTCTATTTCATCCTTCTGCTCATTCATAGGCTTTTACAGCATGTTCCCACTTTACTCAAAGCAAGAAAATCCAACTTCCGCAAAATTTTCCATTGCACATAGAAGGCTTACATTTTCTGGTGAGTGGATAGGAAGCTGAATCCCAGAACACTCTGTCAATATTTTAGTCTTTCTTCAATCTAGTCTTGATCAACTTCAAGTTTCTGTCCTGTTCATTTTGTTCCAGAAACCTCTTGTATCGAACCCCTTATTTAGGACTTTTTTTCAAGGAGTTTGCTCATATAAATTTACCAGTTTGACCTCCTGTGTCACCTTGGGATCTTAGCCTGGTGCTCTCTGTTCTTCAAAGACTCTGCTTTAATCCAGTTTAGAGACATTCTGTTGGCAGACCTCACATGTAATGAGGTTTGAGACCGAAGCTTTAGTTTTCTCCCTAACTAAAGTAATTTTTTTTCCACCTTAATGAGAACGTTTTCAAAACATGATAAGGAAATTACCCTACATTGTCTGGATGGGGTCAAGTCTACCAGAGTCTACTTGGCAGCCACAGCCTCTGTTTGCAAGTCCAAGGCCAATTTTTGTTTTGCCTGTTGGCCCTCGTAGAGTGCATTCCGCTCCCCATTCCATTATTGCCAGGTGAATCAGGCAATGTATCTCCAGGGCCCATTCCATCAGGGCTGTTGATGTCTCTTGGGCTTTCAGCATCAAGCATCTGCTTCACATATTTCCCAAGTTGCTCTGTTCACACATTCTCCAAGTTCTACCAGGTGTATTTTCAGGCCCTCAGCTGATGCGAGCTTTGACATAAGGTGCCTTAAGCTGTTACCTGAGTGTTTTGTTTAGGTTCTTTTACACTTGTTTTCCTTTTGGGCATGTTAGCAGTTCTGTATGCTTGTTGTTGCCCACCTCTCAGTTTATTGCTTGAATATACCCTACAGTCTATGAATACAAGTCATGTGTCCTGTACGATTAAGATAATAGGAATTTTTACTTGTCTGTAAATTCATTATATTTGAGTACAGAACTGGATACAGGCCCTTCCCCTGTGTCTTGATCACACTTTATTGCTTGCTAAAAAATGGAGTCTCCTGGAGTGGGCAGGGTTATATGAAAACACTCTAGGGACAGCCTTAGCAAGTTTTTGTTTGCCCAATCATGTAAAGGGTACCTGTATATAACCCATTGTCTATAAATACGAGTTTTGTGTTCTGTACTGTACTCCAAGATAAAGAATTCATACGTAAGTCAAAATTACTATTTTTACGTACAATGGTGTACTGAGATCATCTTTTTTAAACAGGTTTACTAAAGAAGTGCTGTCTGTGATGCTACTACTCCTTAAATGTTACTTTTCATTACTGACCCAGGTCGGGATGCATAGTTTGCTACTGAGCCATGGTCAAACACGGGTTGCAGAAAAAAACTCTTCTATATGTGGTTTATGACAGAGTTTTGTCCCATACCTGAATTTTTCAAAATAAACATTAGAAGTTTTGTCTCTGATAGGATTTAAAACAAAACAGGTCAAGCAATTGATTGATTAATTCATTGTATTCATGTTGCATTAGATAACATTTTCTGTTTATCATTTTACCATAGAACTCCTGTCACTTATTTTACTGCATGGGAGACAGTTGTTACAAAAATGAAACTTCTTTTTTAAATTCTGCTAATACAACATGTTCGAGTTATTGTGAAGTAAGTAGATTTTGTATTTATTATATTAACAACTGTGTGTCTTAGTCACAATTATTTTGTTTAGGAATGGTCATGCTTTGTTGAAAACTCATAAATATTCCTTTACAACATGAAATGAAAAATATTCTTAGGTTTTTCTGAACCTATTTTTTATCTAATGCCAGGAATGCAATACCTTCAATCTTCCCTTAAGCAAAAGGAAGAAATGACAAGGTTAAAGTATAACTAAAGGCAGTGTTGGATAGAGTGGAGATGGATTAGAAGACTTGTAAGGTTTTCATTGCTGACTTTTGGGATATTTACCATCTCTATTTGTCTTGGTGACCATTAGCACTGAGAATGAAAGTGAAAGAAAATCCCAAATTTTCACCAGAAGAAAAATAGAGGAAAACTCTTCCAATGGGACACTAGTTCTGATGAGCCATGTGAAACAAGATATTCCTTTACTTTGAAGGAATTTCTTCTCACTTTCTGTTGTGGCTAGGGGACAGGAAGTAATTATAAATCTCCCCAACACAGATGGCAATAGAAAACCTGACAGGGGTTATAACCCTCCATTACAATATCCAAAATATATAAAAAAGTCCTGGATATAGTTCTACTTTAGGGCTGGATAAGAGGAGAACTAGGATATAGGGATTGTAGTTAGAGGTTGGTGTGCTGGGTTGGTGGGCCAGGGAGGGCAATGAGGTTACATAAAGAGGAAAGGTTAAGGTTGCCATGCGTGTAATTATTTTTTTTTAGTAATTTATGGAGGTAATTGACCAATTATATACTTATAGTTTTTCAACCCATTTTTATATTACAACACTAATAAATTATATAACAAAAGTGTAGCACTCTACTTCTTATAGTGATGAAATGTGAATATTTTTGCACCAACAAAATTACTAATAAACCTCTCAACCAAAAACATTTACATCAAATAAATCGCTATATAAAGCAAGGGGAGATCTCCCTAAAAGTAGAATTTTGTGTATTCGTTGGCATTCCACAAGGTGAGTGTGAAAGAGGACTTGGCTATAATATCTATATGATGGCAAGCATTTATTGGCCTTCCATTTTAGATGAATATTTATGAATGCTTTAATTTCTGTGGACGCTTTGATGAACTTTTATGATTTTAGAAACACATAATAATGAAGCATATAGGTTTGTGACACTTATGGGCAGAGAGCCATTTAACTGCTTTCCTGCTACCCTTTAGCAGAAATACTGCTACAGGGCAGCAAAGGTGGCAAAATAACACATATATATATATATACACGTGATTTTGCATTTCTGGGTAGGGGGCGCATGAGCCACAGGCATCCTACCCGTGCCGCTATTTGCGGTCTCAGCTGTCAATCACCGGGTTTCAGCCGGTGAATACTCGACAGCACCCAATGATCGCTGAATATTACTGATGGGGGAGAGGACTGTATGTAAACAATATATACATAGCATAACATAGCAGAGCCATACAAAGCAGTGTGCTTACAGTGGAAAGCACAGACACAGCCTCATAGTAAAACACACACAGCACACAGTTAACCCTTTGATTGCCCAAGATGTTAACACATTCCTACCCAGTGTCATTAGTACAGTGCCAGTGCTTTTTATTATCACTGATCACTGTATTGGTGTCACTGGGGATATCAGTGACACCAAGTCAGTTCCCCCCCAGTGTCAGAATGCCCGCCGCAGTCCTGTAGTCCTGCTATAATTCTTCAAATTAAAAAAATTCCAGTATATATACCGTCATTTGTAAACGCTGTAACTTTTACGTAAACCAATTAATTTACACATATTGGGATTTTAGCAAAGATATGTACATTTTTTATTGGACATGTTTAATAGCAAAAAGTCAAAAATATTGTTTTTTTTTTTTTCTCAAAATTGTCAGTCTTTTTTTGTTTATAGCTGTATCTGCAGGGAAAAAAAGGATGTAAATTTTATTTGGGTACAGTGGTGCGTGACCGCACAACTAAAAGTTAAAATAATGGCCAGGTCAGGAAGGGGCGTAAATCCTCTGAAGGGCAAGTGGTTAAAGTGTTTATTCACTGTTTTTGGATGTAAATGTTTTTTATTAGTCATTTTGTTGGTGCATATATATTCACATTTTGATTTCATCACTATAAGAAGTGGAATGCTACACTTAAAGTGTTACTAAACCCAGGACCCTGCATTCACTCTATCTGGTCTCCCACAGTCCACAGAACATGGAAGTGCAATTATGTTAGTAAATATAAACTGCTAAATAGCTTTTCTCATCAGCAGTTAGAGCAGTCTTGTGACTTCTATCAGTGTCCAGCAGAGCAATGGTCAAAGCTTGTCGGAGGAGTTTTCTATCTGCTCTAGGAGGATGCAAAACCCCTTACCTTTGTCTGGACAGTGCTGATTGGCCCTGTGCTGATCACATGCACTCTCCCAAGAGAACAAAAACCTCTTTAGTAATACACACTAAACTGAGCCTGTGCAGAATGGCTACGGTTCAGTCTGTCTTATCAGGAAATAAGAGGTGGACATTTAAACAAGGAGGAGCAGAAAAGTCAGGATCAAACAGTCTTTTTACACAATGCAGAGGATTAACCCCTTAGGTTCCACAGTGAGTATAACAAGCATGCTTTACTGCATATACAGACTGATTTTACTGTTCTAGGTTTAGTAACACTTTAAGATGGTTGATATATTCTGGTTAATACTCTTCCTAAGTTTTCCTTAAATCATGCTCAGTAATGTGCTTATGGTACTAGTGGTTGATTGGCTTGGTTAGCAATTTACTGTAAAGATAAACTCTAGACAGGTATAAAAAATGAAAAGTACTATTCTGTAATAATAAACATATCATTAAGTGAATGTTTTGAATGTAAGCAGTGTAAGTACCTGAATATGACCTAGTATTGGCCTCTTGCAGTCACTGTACAGCAGGTCTGGAGTGAAAGGAAGTAGCAGCTGTTCTGTTAGTCGATCCTGCTCTGATGCTCACACACTGTAGTTAGTAGCAGACATTTTATTAGGTGCTCATAGCTGCCATTAAATATGTGTCTGCTTTTAGAACTACAACCAAAGAGAGGCAATAACACAGTTGTACCAGTATCTAAGTAGTGAGACCCCTAGAGGCCATACACAGCATATAACATATTGCTACATCCTTTCTCTTTTAAATAAAAGAACAATGAAATATAACAAACACAAAATGGTGAAGTAGAACATAGCTATAAGTTAGATATAATCCTTGAGGTGAGCCGGCTTTCTGATTGTTCTGCCAGCTCACGTAACATATGAGGTTTCTTCACAGAAATCTTGGTGTTCTTCTGATTCTGGCAGTCTATTTTCTGGGACTGTCTCTCTCTGCCTAGAGACCTCCCTATGCTCCTCAGCAGTCCCTGTTTCTTTGTTGCTGGTATTCATAGTCTCATCACTTTGAGTGTCCATATACTGTTCCCAGGGCCCTGTATCATCTCCTTGTGTTTTTCTCAGATGTCTCCGATTTCTCCTCCATCTTCTTCCTTCCTCTGTTATAATTTCATAGGACCGTGGTCCCAATTTCTGTACAACCTTCGCTTTTTTCCAGTGTTTGTCATATTTGCCTATTGGCTGAATCCGTACATTTTCATTGCTCTGGAGAACAGGCAGATCTTTTGCAGATTTATTATAATAGAAAGCTTGCCTATCTTGATTCTTCGTTAGTTTGGCTTTAACATTGCCCACAAGCTTTGGCTTTAGTAGTTGACCTGCAGTTGGTAAAAGAGTCCTTGTACGTCTACTCATAAGCCGCTGTGCTGGACTGGTGTCTAGGCCTTGTGTGGGTGTGTTTCTGTGCTCCAGTATAGACAGGTATATCTCTGTACCTGCCTGTTTTGCCTTTTGCATGAGTCTTTTGGCTGTTTTTACTGCTGACTCGGCTTTACCATTACTCTGTGGATATCCAGGAGATGATGTCTGGTGCTCAAATTCCCACCTCTACCTGAATTTTTTGAATTCTTCCGATGTAAATTGAGCGGCGTTGTCAGAGAACACAATATCCGGAATGCCATATCTGGCAAAATGGGCCTTGAGTTTTTTAATTACTGTTTTGGCCCTTGTGTCCTGTAAGTAGTCTATCTCCCAGAAGTTGGAAAAATAGTCCACAGTTACCAGATATGCCTTGTCGTTCCACGTGAACAGATCTGTTCCTACTTTTGACCATGGTCTGTTTGGAATTGTATGTGGTTGCAATGTCTCTTTCGGTTGCTTATCATTGCACGATGCACATATTTCACACTGTGCTATAAAGTTTTTTCTGTGGTCATTCATTCCAGGCCAATAAACATATTCTCGTGCACGACGTAGACATCCTTCTACACCTAAGTGAGTCGAGTGCAATCTTTCTATAATGTCTCTTCTAAGGGATTGTGGTATGACAGCCCTTTCTCCTTTAAAGATGATTCCATGCTGCACAGAGAGTTCATCTCTTATGTGAAAAAAATGGAGAAACCTCCATTGGAGCATGCTGCTTGTGTTTTGGCCATCCCTTCAAGATGACAGTCTTTAGGATCTGTAGAGTTTTTTTATCTTCCGATGTGCAGGTCTGTATTTGTTTCAGTCTGTCTTTTGAGACAGACAGATTTTCACACATATTGATGCTTTCAATGTCTTTCTTCTTCATTTGTGATGGGTAAGTAAGCTCTGCTTAGGGCATCTGCAATCAGTAAATCCTTCCCTGGACAGTAACAAATGTTCAAATCATATTTCTGAAGCCTTAACAGCATACGCTGCAGTCTTTTTGGGGCATTCAGTAGTGGCTTCTTTGTAATACTTTCTAAAGGCTTGTGATCTGAATGCACCACCACTTGTCGACCGTAGGTGTACTGGTGAAATTTCTCTAACCCAAATACTACCGCTAGTAGTTCCTTCTCGATTTGAGCATATCCTTGCTCTGTTAGAGTTAACGCTCTGCTTGCATATGTGATTGGCTGTTTATCCTGCATTAGTGTGGCTCCAAGGCCGGTTTCTGAGGCATCACATTGTACTACCACTGCTTGATCTGGATCAAAATATTTTAGCGTTGCTGCGTCTGCAATAGCATTTTTCACTGACTGAAAAGCAGTTTCATGGCTTTCTGTCCATTCCCAGAGTACGTCTTTGTGAGTTAGCTGTCTCAGTGGCTCACACATGTCTGATAAATGCTTGCAAAATTTGGAAAGATAATTCACCATGCCCAGGAATCGTTGTACTCCACGTATATCTGTAGGTGTCGGCATGTCCTGTATTGCCCTCACCTTCTCTGGATCGACTTTAACACCATTTGAGGTAAGAAGATGTCCAATATATGGTACTTCTGTCATTTTTAGTTTGAATTTTTCCAGGTTCAGTTTGATTTGTTTTTTTCTACATCTGTCTAAGAATTGTATCATCTTTTTATCGTGATCCTTTGTTGCGGATTCTAGATCATCACCTTCCCCAACTATTAGTATATCGTCTGCTATTATTTTTACTCCAGACAGTCCTTCCAAAGCTTGCATCAATTTTTGTTGGAACACTTCTGGAGCCGGGCTTAATCCCATTGGCATTCTCAGCCACTTATAGCGTCCAAATGGGGAAGAAAATGCTGTTAATAAACTTGATTCTTTATCCAGTTCCACGTGCCAGAACCCATTTTTCACATCACATACCGAAAATATTTTAGCCTTTGATAGATCTGGTAGAATATCTTCTATTGTTGGCATTGGATAGTGATTTCTTTTAAGGGCCTTGTTCAGTGGCTTAGGATCAATGCATATTCTTAACTTGCCTGATGGTTTTTTCACTACCACCAAACTGCTTATCCAGTCTGTGCTTTCCTGTACTGGTGCTATCATACCTCTGCTGTGCAAATCCTGCAGTTCCTCTTTAAGTGGTTGCATTAAGGCTACAGGTACTCTTCTTGTAGGCAGTCTGGTAGGGTGTATTGTATGATCAATTTCTAGTTTGTATTTACCTTCCAGGCACCCATCACCTTCAAATAAAACAGCATACTCTGTTTTTATGTGGTGAAAATCCAAAATGTATTCTGCCTTTTTTTTTAGGATTTTGAGTATTGTCAGAAACTTCCAGAGCCATGATGTTATGGGACTGCACCTTTATTAAGTCCATAGCCTGAACTGCTTTAACTCCCAGCAAAGGAATGTGATCGTCCTCCTGCAACACAGTAAACTCCACTCTGTAGCTCTTTCTGTTACGTGGATTTCTTAATTTTAGCTTGCATGTTCCCATGGGTTTCAGAACACTTTTGTTGTACATGACCAGTACCTTATCAGTGGGCTCAATGGGAACCAGTTTGTTAAGCAGAGTAAATGGAATGACATTGCAGCTTGCTCCACAATCCAGCTGAAATCTTATGGGCTGTTCATTCACCATAAATATGGCAAAGAGCTGCTTTGCATCATTGGCTACTGGCTGTTTGACTACATTGACGTTCTCTGTTGCAGACTGCAGCTGCAACCATGTGATGCCCTCTGTGCTGTCCTCGTCTGTGTCCTGGGTCACTGTGTGGACTTGTCTGTACTGTTTGCTGGTTTTGAATCTGCACACAGCTGAAAAGTGGTTCATCTTGCCACAAGTCCTGCAGGACTCCCCATACGCTGGACATTTCTCTTTGTCTCTTTCATGTCTTTTGCCACAGTATTTACACTGGACTGAGCTCACAGGGAGCCTGGACCTTGCTCTGCCTTTCACAGATACTGCATGTACTGAGGCATCACTGGTGCCCTCCATCATCTTCAGCCTGTCTTTAGTCAGCTCAGCAGCCCTGCAGATTTGTATACATTTCTCAAAAGCCAGCTCTTCCTCCCTCAGTAATCTTTCTCTGAGGTGAGAGTCTCTGATGCCACACACTATCCTGTCTCGGATAAGGGAGTCCCTGATGTCCCCAAATCCACAGGTTGCAGCCAGTCTCCTCAGTTCTGTCACATATCTGTCCACACTGTCCCCAATCTCCTGATTCCTTGAGAAGAACTTGTATCTCTCCACTGTCTCATTCTTTTTGAGGTCACAGTGCTTATCAAATGCTTGCAGTATGTCTGTCAGTGCCATGCTGTCTGTGAGCAGGGTCTCGGCTAGTTCTCTGCCTTTTTCCCCAATCAAGTAATAAAACAGCTTTACTTCCCTCTGCTCATCTCTGGGTGCCACTCTCAGGTCCACATACAGAGTAAACTCTTCCTTCCAGTGTCTCCATGTCTGTGAGAGATTGGAAGAAGTGACATCCAGTCTCTGAGGGGGTTTCAGGCCACTCTCCATAGTGCAGTCTGATAGGGACTCTGTACTTACAGTTGCTGATTCTCTGTACAGTTCTAGTGTCACACAATCTGTATTTGTAGACAGAAGACTTGCTATGCAGAGGTCCAGTGCCCAGCTGCCACCATGTTCTATTAGTCGATCCTGCTCAGATGCTCACACACTGTAGTTATTAGCAGACATTTTATTAGGTGCTCATAGCTGCCATTAAACATGTATGAACAGGAGCCAGGCGCTGTGTAGTTTTGTGATAGAAATAATACACCTTGTATGGAGGTGTGTCTTTAATAAGTCATATGGTAAAACAATAATAAATAACCAGCCTGTGGCTTTAGGAAGCCAGGTTCCAAGATGGACGGCCCGTCCGCTCAGAGGGAAGCAGTGGAGTAGAATGCCTGTCAGTGCAGGGACCACGTTTTTACCCGACGTCCCAGCGTCCTGGATGACGTCACCACGATGTGGAGAGACAGAGGGGGGGAACTCTTGCTGGAGCCGCATAGAGGCCGGTTGCTGGGACAACATGTTTCGCGCGCATGCGCTTTGTCAAGCTTGACAAAGGTGTATTATTTCTATCACAAAAACTACACAGCGCCTGGCTCCTGTTCATACCTCCCACAAACCGATGTGTTTTTACCATGGCAGCAGTGAGTTTTTTCCCCACCAATCATAGTTGACATATACCATTCACTTATTTCCTTTGGGACACATCTGTGCGCTTTTATCCAGACCGTTCTGCCATTAAACATGTGTCTGCTTTTAGAACTACAACCAAAGAGACGCAATAACACAGTTGTACCAGTATCTAAGTAGTGAGACCCCTAGAGGCCATACACAGCATATAACATATTGCTACAGCAGCACATTGAGTCAATCAATTCATGTGCTGATAAGAAGCATGCTGATAGGAACAGAAAGCAGAGTGACAGAGATGAACTCATCACTATGCTGCTTCTCCTTTCACAGTCCAGTCACAGGCTGGGGCAGGTCCAGGATGATCTGGGCTCAGAGGAACTGGTATGAATGATGTCAACCATTAAAGTGAAAAAAATCTTGTGGCAGAAAAAGTACTGCAGGTGAAATATCAGGATTGAAGCTGAATCTTTTTTCTTTTATTAGGCTATTTCATTTTATCTTTTTATTTTTGGGTGTAGTTTTGATTTAATTTTTATTGTGAGTGGGGTAAGCAAATGTAGCACATTGTTTATGTTCAGACTGTACAGTGTGCATTAAAAAGTCTCAAACATTGCAAACAAGTACAGGTAGAAAAAATCCACTGAACAATTAATTTAGGCTAATGTCATATCAGTTTGCAACTTATTTTTAATTTCCCCCTTCTAATGGTCATATTTCACACTGTGCCTGATTGGTACTAACTAAAAGCTCTATTATGCCTCGTTTAGATTTCAGTTTGGGGGGCAGCAAAAATGCATGTTTTTTTTGACACTCACCAATTAAACCCCCCCCCCTCTCCGCAGTAAGCAGTGGATGGGGGTGTTTACATGCCGTGGCTGCAATGCTTCGCGCCTACGGCAGAGTTGACCCAACTTGTAGCGACTGGCGGACAGCAAGCCTGGTGAACGCAACACATTCAAGTCAATTGGGAAGAGTCACAATTGCCCCGTAACTGCATGCAATGCACGTGCTTGCAGCAGTTTTGTTGGCAAAAATAGGGTTTAAAACAGGCAGAGAGGAAGTTGCATTGCTTCCTCACCACCTATCAAGAGCCTCTAGAGAGCAATCTGAATGCAGATCAGACTTCAGAGGCAAGGGAGATTTAGACGCATGTCTACTCTAACAGATGAGGATATTTGTACTGTAATTATCATAAAAATTCTCTAAACACAGTAGTGAGTAAGCTTGAATTTTGATGTGTCATTTTAGATGTACCGCCACAACAGCTCCTTTTATGAAAGCAGATGCAATCAGCACTGCATGCATCACATCTGCAACAGCACACAGCAAGATGGATGTGCACTAAACTGCTGCAATCAATCTATGTGCTTAACTTCAGAAGACATGATGGGAGGTAAGAAAATTAGGTTTCTCATTTTAGGGAACTTAGTGCATGCAGTAATTGTTCCGGCTCACAGAACTGAAAGAATGGGCGGTGGATGTTACAGGGTGCAGCTGATGTTTTCAAACATTAATTTTTTTTTTTACTCTTGTGTGCACAAGTGCTGTACTCTTATCGCACTATCCATTGGACAGTGCAGATCACAAAACAAGGTACAGAGCCAATGAGAATGGTTCTGTACTATGCAATCACAATGACCAATCACAGCAATCATGAAGTGTAAGACATGGCTGCGATTAGCAGCTTATGCTCCCTTTTTTTTCTCATACAGCGATCAGTTATGAGAAGAAAAGTTAATCCCTGATCACAGCCAGTACAAGTCCAAGTGGCAGTGCCATCCAGTGCAAGTGCAGCCAGTACCAGTGCTAAAGGTACCAGTGCTAGCATAGCCAAGAACAGTACCATTCCTCGCCAGCACAGCCAATGCCAGTTCTAGCACAGACAGTACCAGTGGCATCCATTGCCAACACATCCAGTACCAGTACCAGCCCAGAAGCAGTGCCTGCACAGCCAGTACCATTGCCATCCAGTAGAAGTTCCATCACAGTCTGTACCAGTAGCAGCATGGTCAGTGTCAGTATCAGTCATGAACCAGTGCCTGTACAGCCAGTACCAGTGACAGCAAAGCCAGGACCAGTGCCAAAACAGCCAGCACCAATGTCAATCAAGTAGAAATTCAAAATTCTAAACATGTCCTTTACCAAATTCCTTGGTATGTCTAATTTCCAACAACTCGGGGGGGGGGGGGGGGGAATTGTTCTGGCATTTTAGGGCCTCAAGAAATATAATAGTGCTCTGTGTCTTTAAGCTGTCTCCTTCTGTCTAAGCTGAGCTCTTTTTCTCACCCTACTTGTGTATACCCCTCCCCCCTGCCTCTCTGTGTAGTCATTCCACTGTATCCTGACTACCTGTATGCATCTTTCCATGAGGCTTACAACATTAACGGTTTTCTACCTATGATTATTCTCCATTAAACGGAACATTCAAATGGTTTTCCTCATCTGACTTCTTTCAACATGTGAGTTTATTCATTGAGTTAAACTGTCTGACCCGATGCAAGAGATAGACTTCAACACCACGTCGTATAGCTGTATACATCGCTGGAGATAAAGTTTATGACACAGTCAGAACATTTGGCTTCTTAAATTTCAAATACTATATATACCATAAATTATAGACTTTATATAGTAAAAAATAAAAACCCAGTAGTCAGTAAATACCACCAAATGAAAGTGCTGTCTCAAAAAATCTATATAAAATAATTTGAGTACAGAGTTTATGACTAAGTAATTATAAGTAATTAGTAAGTATCACAGCACTGAAAACTTAAAAATGACCTGGACAGGAAGTGGGTATAACATTCTGGTCCTCAAGTGGTTAAAAAGTATGTATCTGCTAAATTCAATGTTAAGTAAGTTTAGATAAATTGTAGTGGCTTTAGGTTTGGATGAATACCAGAGGGTTTAATCAGCCTTTGGTTTCTTCTATATCTTAGGGACTCCAGTGATGTCAGGGTTTCTGTCTCTGGATTCCAATATGATAAAAGTGCAAGTCAATACAGCCCAGTCTTGACAATAAAGTATATCAGAAACGGAAGGTTTTTTTTTTTTTTTAGAGTGTTAAGAAGTAAGAACTGCCAGGTTTTTATTTGCTGCCCTCACTAGGGAGACTCAACCTCTCTATTTGTCACCAGAACTGGAAGTGACTTGCCCTAGAACAGGAATAGTGGAAAAACCTTTCAATGAGGACACTTCTTCCTGTGACAACTGTTTGAGAAGCGATTTACCACACTTCAAAGAGATTTTTCTTCTCATTTCTTGTGTTTACAGGACAGGAAGTGAGGTGAAATCTCCCCAGTGACACATTGATTTAAAAAAAAAAAAAAAAAACAAGATTTTTAAACTTTCTATACTCTATCCAAAACAAAAAAAGAAAGGTTTGACTTTACATTTTTAATTGACAATCATAGCACAGTACTGGAAACAAGCAGCTTCAGCACAGGAGTCTCAGTAGTATGATAAAGCCTTTTTTTGGCACAATCACTGAAAGTCATGTGGTGGCTGCATGTTAACGACTTCCCGACCGCCCTACAGCAGAAGTACTGCTACAGGGTGGCAGGGATGTGCAAAATCACGTATATATACAGTATCTGATTTTGTATTTCCGGGTAGGAGGTGTGTGTGTGCTCCCTACCCAGCGCCACTATTGGCTCCTCGGCATGTCAGTCACCAGGTCCCTGTCGCCGATTCTCGACCAGGACTAGATGGTCATCCACAGAGCTGACATGGGGAGAGGTCTGTATGTAAACAATACAGATCTCTTCCCTGTCAGCATGAACAGGCTGCTTTGTATTGCTCTGCACAGCAGAGCAATACAAAGCAGCTTGTCTACACAGTAAAACACACACAGCACACTATGTAAAACACACACAGCACAGTTACTCTTTTATCACCCCAGATGTTAACCCCTTCCTGCCCAGTGTCATTAGTAGAGTGTCAGTGCTTTCCATTAGCACTGATCACTGTATTAGTGTCACTGGGGATGTCAGTGACAGTTAGTCAGTTCCCACCCAGTGTCAGAATAACCACAGTCCCACAGTCCCGCTATAAGTCGCTGATCGCCACCATTACTAGTAAAAAAATAAATAAATAAAAATTTCAGTATATACGCTGCCATTTGTAGACGCTATAACTTTCACAAAACCAATTAATTTACACGTATTGAGATTTTTTTTTAGCAAAGACATGTAGCGGAATACATTTTGGCCTAAATTTATAACGAAATTTGATTTTTTAAATTTTTTTTGTTTAATAGCAAAAAGTCAAAAATATTGTTTTTTTTTTTTTAAAAATTGCAAAAAATGAAAAATGCACAGGTGATCAAATACCACCAAAAGAAAGCTCTATTTGTAGGGAAAAAAAAACATATATTTCATTTATGTGCAATGTTGCATGATCGTGCAATTGTCAGTTAAATTAACGCAGCGCCGTATGGCAAAAAAATGGCCTGGCCAGGAAGGGGGGTAAATCCTCTGGAGGGCAAGTAAAAATACAGGACTCATTCTCCTTAAGTGTTACTAAACCCAGGACCCTGCATTCACTATATTTGGTCTTCCAGAGTGCACAGAACATGGAAATGCAATTATTTTAGTAAATATAAACTGCTAAATACCTTTTCTTATCAGCAATTAGAGCAGTCTTGTGACTTCTACCAGTGTTCAGCAGAGCACTGGTTAAAGCACATGTATGAGGAGTTTTCTTTCTGCTCTAGGAGGATGCAGAAGTCCTGAACTTTGTCTGGACAGTGCTGATTGGCCCTGTGCTGATCACATGCACTCTCCCAAGAAAAAAAAAAACCTCTCTAGCAATACACACCAAATTGAGCATGTACAGAGCGATTCCACACAATATGTTTTATCAGGAAATAAGAAGGGGGCACTGGAAGAAGGGGAGGATCAGAAATATTAGGATCAAATGGCGTTTTTACACAATGCAGAGGATTAACCCCTTAGGTTCCACAGTGAGTATAACAAGGATGCTTTACTGCATATACAGACTGATTTTACTGTTGTGGGTTTAGTACAATTTTAACAAATCTTTAGGACTTGGTTTGATGGAGTCAAATCTTGCAAGTACAACCAGCAAACATCTTCTTACAGATCAGGCAATGTTCCTTTCCAAAAATGTAGAATAATCAGAATTATATCTGACTGGTTTTCCAATACAAAACAATTGTAAATAGAAAAAAACATAATTTATGATAACCTTCCTTATGCCATATCCTTTTTTTATATGCTTCATTACAGGTAACATGACTATGTACAACCAAACTGCCAAGACTCCAGTTACAGCCACCACTACAACAACTACCACTGCCACAACTACTACAACTATTCAATACAGTGTAAGTAATAAGTGGAACATGCAGCTAAAGCCAGATATGGAAAGGTGAACAGGTTAAGATGGCACCGAGAACCTGCAGATTATGCCAGAATGTAATCTCATGCCATCTGGAATCTGGTATTGTACTGTATACCATGATAGGGAAGTAGTGCTGGGTGTGGAGGCTCAGAGGTGGTCAGAGGAGACCGGGAGTCTGTCCGGGGAGCAATACAGTTGAGGGACAGGCATTCGGTCCCTGTAGCTCCTGGAGGGACAGGTGCCAGCCGGCGGTATGTGGAGGAGTGCAGAGTGTGGAGGAGGGAGGATTTCCTGGAGACGACAGACCCTGAAGTGATCTTAGCAGGTATCGCAGGTTGGAACTACATTGGGGAGAACAGGAGGCCCTGAGACACCAGCACAGGACATTCTGGACTGACTGGTTCCCCGCCCAGGTTTCCCCAGAGGAAGACAGAGTGCCAGGTTTGGATGGTAATGGTGAATTGCCATGGGCAACAGTTTTATGACTATGCTAATATTGCCTTGTCTCTGTTATAAGAAAATGGACATTTGAGAGGAGGGACTGGGCGGGTAGAAGACGAAGGTGCTTGGTGATCTCAGAGGTCAAGGAAGCGTGCAAATATACTCTCTCAAAGTTATATGGGATTGTATATATAGCAAAGAACATATAAAAGGAGGGTTCTCACACAGGGGTGATAATACCATTTGTGAGCAGTGATCAGATAACCAGCAGATAAGCCCCATCAATATGAGGATCAGATCCCCTAAAAGAGGAGGGGTAAAAACTTTGCAATCGAATATGAGTACAATTAAGAAATATATGCCGATTCAAGAAAAAATGTCCAGAGATACAGTGCTCTGAGAAACAAAAGGAAGGAAACAGAAAATATTACGGGGAGCAAAATAGACTGTTATTTGGAATGCAAGATGGAAATGTGATGAATAATTCTGTAAATACGAACACTGTAACAGAGCAGAATGGGATGGACAAACAGGGAGCTATATCTCAAATTCCTACAAAGATCGAGATGGCCAGAAATGTTTGCAAAATTGGAATGCTCCATGAAAAATGAAATGGCGGTGATTCATAAGGATCTGAGAAGAATATTGACAAGAGTAGAAGAAGTGGAAGGGAAAAAGGAAAGCCAGGCCCAGCAGATTGTTAAACTGGAAATGCAGTGGAAGAGCTAAAAAAGGAACAGAGGAAGCGAACATACAATCTTGAGGATCAAGAGAATGGGGAGAGAAGAAATAATTTGAGGGTCCGGGGCCTGCCAGAAGATCCAAGTGAAGAGGACCTGCAGGGAAAAATAAGGAGTGTGTTTAACCCATTAATAGGAAGATCAGATACAGACCCCCTAAAAATTGAGAGAGTACATAGAATTAGATATCCACCAGGAATTACATCAGAATTTCCAAGAGATGTGGTTGTACATTTCCACTATCATGAAGACAGAGAGAGAATATGGAAAAAACTGCGTGAGACATCTGAAATAAGTTTTGGAGAAACAAAGTTGCAAGTTTTTGTGGACGTATCTGCAGAGACTCTGTCTCGAAGAAGATTGGTGAAACTGTTATTTGAGCAGATGAGAGAGAAAAGAGTCTGATATAACTGGGGGTTTCCGGCATGCCTGATCAGGTGGAAAGATGGGAAATTGGCTATGCTGAGTTTCCCATAAGAACTAAAACTTTTGTGAAAAGTTAGAACTGCAGGTTTTGGAAGTTGCGGGGGGGGGTCAGAAGGGTCTAATTAATGAGAGAGTAGAGCCAAGAAACAAAAAATGGCAGCAAGTAAATAAAAGGAGAAAATAACTAGTGAAGGGGTTTTGGGGTGGCAGGGAGGAACGAGGAGGAGGAGGAAATCAATTTATAGGGTTGACTTTTGGTGCTGTACTTGATATATTTTTACATCCCACTGCCTTCCCACCGTCGGCCCTCCCCTTTGTCGTTCATAGGGCTTCCGCGAGGAGACTGGATTTAGAGATTTTAGATAGAGCAGGACATCTGGAGGCCCAGTAGGACATGAAACTAAAAACACCCATGTTGGATCAGGTTAGGCGTACATGTTCAGAGCCATACTCTAAAATAGGAATCGCCAGTGGGGGAATCCAGGGAGCTCTTAAGAGTAAGCTGGCTAGGGGAGAGAGGGTGGGAGAAGGAGGGTGGGAGGAAGGGGGAGATATGGAGGGGGAGGGGTGGGAGGCATTGAACCCAAATTGATCCTTACTACGCTCTTGTAGGAACATACTCACAGTTTCTGGCCCTTTCTTATGAGGGATACTATTGTAGACAGCTTCCACGTCTTTTATGTTGGATGGTAAATTTGTGACATGTGGTCTTAGATGGATATCAACTAAAGTGCTGGCATTCTCTGTGAGTCCCCCACAGCCCGAAATTATTGGCCTGCCTGGAGGTTTCTGAATGTTCTTGTGTATCTTGGGTAGGGCATAAAAAGTCGGAAGTCGCGGCCATTTAACATTGAGAAATTCCCAAGTGTTCTTGAGAATAACATTATTTTCTAAGGCACTATTAATAATTTGGTAATAAGACATTTTAGCCTTCTCCAATTGATGGTAAGAGACTTTTTTATACCATTTGGTATTTTTCAGGATCTGTTGGCACGTGTCTATATTGCTCACATGACATTACTGCAGATGTTGCTACCTTTGTCAGAGGGTTTAATGACTAACTTCTTTCTGTTCTTAAGTCTGGTTAATGCCAATTGATGAGATTTAATAAAGTTCGTACCTACAGGAGTTGAAGGGGATAAAGTAGCAATTTCTTTTGTAGTTTAAAATATGTAAAAAACCTTTTGCTCCGCTACTAGAAAAGATGGGACTATTGGGACAGCAGCACACACCTGGCTATACCACTAGCAAAAAACAACAAACAGAAAATTATAGTATAAATAAAAGTAAAACTGGATGGACAAGACCCTCAAAAACAATCTGATTTATTGTCTGTTACACCTCTTGGTCCTCATTTTGGACCTTTATTATTTCACCTTGCCCTTCACTCCTATATTCCTTCCATTTACTGATTATGTTTTGGGTTATTATCTATTGTCTTCTCATCTCATTATTTGTCTTGGAATGTCTGTGGCATTATTGTGATTAGCTCAACATCAATTTTCTGTTTGTTCTTTTGTAGTTTGCTGTAAAAAGGCAAGGATATTGCCATTGAGAGAAAAGGACGGAAAGGTGTCCGACTTGTTCGTAAAACTATTTTGAAGGGGAAAGTGGGCTGCTCCTAGAGGATTGGCCGAGTCCAATAACTGGTCCAGATCCCATTTATCTTTTTATTTATGTAGTCCACATGGTCACTTTCTTCTAACAACTCAATCAATTCCTGTAAGGCTTTAAAGTCACATTTTTTGTAATTAGAAAACTCTAAGTTGGAAAGTTTTTTTGGGTTGTGTTTTTTTGTGAACCACTCTTAATAATATCATCTCGCAAAAAGATGGATGTCCTTGACTGCCTCAAAGCAGTCAAAGTTTTTATCAGGGCAAAACGGGCTACAGGCTAGACAATGGCACCCTGACTGCCATTAGGTATTGGGATGAAATCCTTGGACCCATTGTCAGAACCTACGCTGGTGCAATGGGTCCTGGGTTCCTCCTAGTGCACGACAATGCCCGGCCTCATGTGGAGTATGCAGGCAGTTCCTGGAGGATGAAGGAATTGATACCATTGAATGGCCCCTACGCTCGTTTGATCTAAATCCAATAGAACACCTCTGGGACATCATGTTTCAGTCCATACGACGCTGCCAGGTTGCACCTCAGACTGTCCAGGAGCTCAGTGATGTCCTGGTCCAGATCTGGGAGGAAATACCCCAGGACACCATCCGTCGTCTCTTTAGAAGTATGCTCTGACATTGTCAGGCATACACACAAGCACATGGGGGCCATACAAACTACTGAGTACCTTTGGAATTGCTGCAATGAAATTTCAGCAAAATGGACTAGCCTGCTGCATAATTTTTTCACTTTGATTTTTGGGGTGTCTTTGAATTCAGTCCTCTGCAGGTTGATAATTTTCATTTCCATCAAACGATGGGGCATCCTTACGTTCCTAACACATTACCCAGTCCATATCAGTAAAGATATCTAGCATGATATTTTTCCTCATTGAGATCTGATGTGTTTTCAAAGTGTTCCTTTATTTTTTTTGAGCAGTGTATCATTTAAGAAAGCAAACCACATAAACAACAGTATAGCATATTATTGATATGACCATTTTTAAAAAATAATATTTCTGTATTTTGTTTAGGATAAGAAATGTAGATCATTTACCTGTTCGGGGACAGACTGCTATAAAAATCAAGCTGGTGCAGCAACAAAGCAATGTCAGGTTGGAAAAGTTCACTGTGAGGTAAGTCATTAGCAACACTGTCTACTAAGTATGCAGTATAAACGCATTAAGGAGAATTTATTAACTTCTTGCCGACCAGCCACTGTAGAAATACGGAGGCAGGGTGGCATGGTTGTGCAAAACCACATTTTAAAACGTGCTTTTGCAAAACAGGTAGGGGGCGCGTGCAAGGTGCGCCCCCGCCCTACCTGCGCCGCCGATCGCAGCCGCGGGTGTCAGTTGCCGGGTCACGGCCGGTCATTACCTGCCGTGTCCCGGCGATTAGCGGCAATCACTGACAGAGAGCACGGCTGCAGTGTTTACACTGCTCCTCTGCTTTCTGTCAGTTCCCTGTCAGCTCCTGACATGCTGATCCAGAGAGAAGAGTTTATCTCTCCGGATCAGCATGTTCCCGTGCAGTACACACCCCCACCCCCTAGTAAAACACTCCACTCACACAGTTAACCCTTTCAATTAATAAAAAAGTTAACCCCTTCCTCCCCAGTGCCATTATACAGTGTCAGTGTTTTTTTTTTTTTTTTTTTTTGCACTGATCACTGTATTGGTGTCACTGGGGATGTCAGTGACCCCAAGTCAGTTCCCCCCCCCCCAGTGTCAGAATGTCCGCCGCAGTCTCGCAGTCCTGCCATAAGTTGCTGATCGCCACCATAAGTCACTGATCGCTGCCATAAGTCGCCGATCGCCGCCATTATTAGTATAACAAAAAAATTAAAAATCCCAGTATCTTTCCCACCATTTGTAGGCGCTATAACTTTCACGTAAACCAATTAATTTACACGTATTGGGTTTTTTTTTAGCAAAGACATGTTGCAGAATATATTTTGGCCGAAATTTATGAGGAAATTTGATTTTGAAATTTTTTTAGTGGACATGTTTTATAGCAAAAAGTCCAAAATATTGTTTTTTGTCTCAAAATTGTCAACCTTTCTTTTTATAGCGCAAAAAATAAAAAACGCACAGGCGATCAAATACCACCGAAAGAAAGCTCAATTTGTGGGAAAAAAAGGACGTAAATTTAATTTGGGTGCAATGTTGCATGACTGCGCAATTGTCAGTTAAAGTAACGCAGCGCCGTAACACAAACCTCTTCTGTAACCGCTTCCTGACCACCCTATAGCAGAAATACTGCTACAGGGCGGCATGGGTGTGCAAAATCACATATATATATATATATATATATATATATATATATACATGATTTGCGCTCCCATGGTTTTCACGCCCTTCCCAGATATCGTCAGATTGCCCGTCAGTACACCAGTCATCACACTTAACCCCTTGATTTCCAGGAGCACGCTCATGGACTATAAACCTCCATTGCTAGTATAGTGTCTGAACGGGTCAATATCTTTGAACAGATCAGCACTATACCAGCGTTCACATTAGTATAGCATCCCCAAAATGCAGCGTTAGCGGGATCAGCCCTGGGACCTGCCAGCACCTGCGTTTAGCCCCTATGCTTACCCCCCCCTTCTTCCCCAGCAAATGCAGTGTCAGTAGGTCGCTGTCACTTGATACATTGCACACAAAACTGCAGTGTTCGCAGAATGAGGACTGATCTCTGTTTGCACTTGCTGGTAAATTTTGATGACTCTCATATGCAGCAGAGTGCCAGTACTAGTGCCGCTCTACCTTTTGGTGAACTGGCGAGTACCAGCGGTCTAGTACATCTTGGTCTTTCACATACCTCCTTGATTTTTGGAGCTGGTTTTCACGGAATATCTGTATGTGTTGATTGTGGATCAAAGCAATTTATATGCACAACAATTTATCGCTGCCAACCCAAATTCAAACATTGCCAGACCAGTCGCATGGAAACTCATTACCGTTTTCTAATTTACATTTTTTTGGGCCTAACCCTCAACATGGGCATTACTAAAAGAAATGAATTGCGGTTGTATTGGTCTGCAGACCCGATTCATCATACGCCCGTGTTCTCTGCTGCCATGGCCAGGCATAGATATGAGAGTATAATGTGTTTTATGCATTTCAACGACAATACACTTTGACCGGCTCCACAAAATTCAGCCACTCGCAAATCACCTTAACCAAAAATTTGCAGATGTCTATACTCCACAGCAAAACATCTACGTTAATGAGTTCCCTCATTCATTTTTCTGGCCGTCTTGCATTCAAACAATTTCTCCCCTGAAAGCGTGCCAGATATGGGGTCAAGATGTAGAAGACCTGTGAGAGGACAACAGGCTATACTTATAAGTTTTGGATTTATGAGGGAAAAGATAGTCATGTGGAGCCCCCCAGATGCCCAGACTACATGGGGAGTAGTGGCAAGATAGTTTGGGACTTGGTGTCATCCTTTTTCTATATGGGGTACCACTTATACGTGGACAATTTTTATTCAAGCGTGCCACTATTTAGACATTTGTTCAATCTTGGAACTGGCGCTTGTGGCAAAGTGTGACCTAATGTGTGCCCTCCATTAGAAGTGGGTGGATGCAGGGCGGTATATTCTAATGGTGGGCATACCACACACTTTTTCTGGCAGAGATTTCTTCTCATTTTTGTCATTCAGTCCACAGGCTGCATACAAAAAAAAGAACATAGTATATATACCCAACAATGACCAGCAACGTACTGGTACATCACTGGACTTTGAATGGTTATACCAGGATGATGCCTACAGCTGCAGGCATCATCCTGGTATCGTTTTTTTCAGCCGGCGATCGGCTTTCATGTAAAAGCAATCCTAGTGGCTAATTTGCTGCAGGATTGCTTTTACAAGCAGTGGGAGATGATGCCCCCCCCTCCCCCGCTGCCTTCCACGGCCTTCTGAGGCAGTCTCGGAACTGAGAATACAGCCAGTGTTTCTGCCAGCTGACCATAGAGCTGATTGGAGACCAGAGTGGTGCACACTTCCAGACTACCTATCACAGTTTCGGAGGCCCTGAAATGCCAGGATAGCACCTAACCCCCCAAATGACCCCTTTTTAAAAAGTAGACACCCCAAGGAATTTGATAAAAAGCTCGGTAAAGCAGATCTCAATTGTTGCCACAAGTTTTTGTAAAATGAAGAAAAAAAACAAAAACATATTTTTTCTATTCTTTTTTTCTATTTCAAAACCTTGTGAGAAAAAATGAGATCTGCAAAATACTCACCATGCCTCTTTTTAAATTCCTTGGGGTGTCTACTTTCCAGAAAGGGGTCATTTGGGGGGGTTTGGTGCTATCCTGGCACGTCAGGGCCTCCAAAACTGTGATAGGTAGTGAGGAAGTGTAATGAGGAAGTTACGCACCTTCAGGCTTTCAAAGTGGTCATTGGATTTCAGGCTCCTGTATGTGGCTAGGCTCCCAAAAAGTCTCACACATGTGGTATCCCCATACTCGGTAGAAGTAGCAGAATGTATTTTGGGGTGCAATTCCACATATACCCATGGCTTGTGCGAGAAATAAATAATTTAAATGACAACTTTGTGTAAAAAAAAAAATGTTTTGTCATTTTCCAGAAACTGGTGAAAAAATCTTTTTTTTTCCATGGACTTAATATGCCTCTCAGCAGATAGCTTAGGGTGTCTACTTTCCGAAAAGCCAAAGAGGGCATTTGAGGGTGTTTGTACTATCCTGGTATTTTAGCACCTCAAGAAATGTGATAAGCAGTCAGAAAGTAAAAACTGTGTAAATTCCATTATCTATACCATATTTTGTAGACGCTATAACTTTCACACAAAGCAATCAATATACACTTATTGGGAATTTTTTAACCAAAAACATGTAGCAGAATACATTTTGGCCTAAATTTATGACAAAATTTTAGTTTTTTTGGATATTTTTTTTATGACCGAAATGAGAAAATATTGTTTTTTTTCAAAAACATTTTTTTTCTTCAAAAATAAAAAGTGCACAGGTGATCAAATACCACCAAAAGAAAGCTCTATTTGTGTGAAAAAAGGACATAAATTTCATTTATGTACCATATTGCATGACCGCGCAATTGTCCGTTAAACTAGCACAGCGCTGTATAGCAAAAAATGGTGTAAATTGCAGTATCCATACCATAGTTTGTAGACGCTATAACGTTCACACAAAGCAATCAATATACACTTATTGGGATTTTTTTAACCAAAAACATGGAGTAGAATACATTTTGGCCTAAATTTATAACTAACTTTGAGTTTACTATATATTTTTATAGCTGAAAGTAAAAAATATTGTTTTTCTTCAAAATTTTTGGTGTTTTTTTGTTTATAGCGTGAAAAATAAAAAGCGCACAGGTGATCAAATACCAAAGAAAGCTCTATTTGTGTGAAAAAAAGGACATAACTTTCGTTTGGGTGCAGCATTGCATGACCGCGCAATTATCAGTTGAATTAGTGCAGCGCCAAGTAGCAAAAAGAGGCCTGGTCATTAAGGGGGGTAAATCCTCAGGAGGGCAAGTGGTTAAAGTGTTACCAAACCCAGGACCCTGCATTCACTCTATCTGGTGTCCCACATTACACACATCATGGAAATGCAATTATTTTAGTATTATAAACTGCTAAATACCTTTTCTCATCAGCAGTTGGAGCAGTCTTGTGACTTCTATTAGTGTTCAGCAGAGCACTGGTTAAAGCTTGTAGGAGAAGTTTTCTTTCTGCTCTAGGAGAATGCAGGACCCCTGACCTCTGTCTGGACAGCGCTGATTGGCGCTGTGCTGATCACATGCACTCTCCCAAAAAAAATAAAACCTCTCTAGCAAAACATACCAAACTGAGCATGTGCAGAGTGACTCCACATGATATGTTTTATAAGGAGATAAGAGGAGGACACTGCAAGAAGGGGAGGATCAGAGAAGTCAGGATCAAACAGCCTTTTTACATACTGCAGAGGATTAACCCCTTAGGTTCCACAGTGAGTATAACAAGCATGCTTTACTGCATTTACAGACTGATTTTACTGTTGTGGGTTTAGTAACACTTTAAATAGGCAGTAGACTCCTACGGCTCTGTGTAGTATCCTGACCTCTATCCCATATGGCGCCTCAGTTGTCCCTCTTTTTTGGTCTGATGTGTACTTTTCTATACAAAATGTACTATTTTAGCTCCAAAAGTATAGGAGTCCACCTGTGGTATCCCATTATGTAAAATGTTATTTCTGCAGTGTAGCCAGGGTAATGCTGGTGCATGCTCATGTAGACAGGAAGTGGCTGAAAATAAGTACAGTATAATAAAATAATATACAATATTCAATATATGTAAAGCACAGCATAAATTGTCAGTGCTATATAAATACCAGCAATATTAATAAAATAAAAGCTTGGATGTTTGTGATGACAAGTATTGGCAAATGCTAACACTGTCTCCCCAGATGGTACTAGTTAAGCTTTCTTTGTTATTTAATATTGGCACTAAATAAACAGGTTAACATGCTCATTTTCTGCTCTGTAGTTACAGAAAAAAGTGACAAATGGCGAGGTGTCTTATGAGGGAGGTTGCAGTAACACTTGTGCTACCAGCACTAAATCCTGTGCTACCATCACCAATGCTGACTGTTTCCAGGAATGCTGTAATGCTACAAACACTGGATGCTGCATGAAATTGGATGGACTGGTGCATTTCAATACAGCCACTCAAATCCACAAGGATTCTGTCCTCAGAATGTTCATTTGTGCTTTCTTTGTTATCTTTCTCTCGCACTACTTTTCTTCTTCACATTTATAAGTCAGCATCTAAAGTCTTAAACTGATTCATCTGGAGGAAAGATCTGTATTGTAACCAATAGTCTCTATCACTCACACAAACAAAATTTTATGTTATGACATAAAGACATGATTGGGTTGAAAACTATAGTTATACATCCAGAGAAATATAACAGGTATATGCATAAAAAAAGCTGATGTATGAATCATTACTGTAAAATGAATAAGTAGTGTAAGGATTTTATTACCTACTAATGGGGTTCTTTTAGTATGATGATATTCTCAGCTGTGTGATATGTGTATCACAATCTGGAATTAAAATTGTCCTAAAAGGGCCAGTCCTTCCTGGTGGTAGGCTGAATCATCCCACTAGAATCACACCCCTGTGTGATTCCAAAGATTAGAACTCACCACAAAAGTTTTTCTAGAGTGCTAGAGCTTCCCCCCACATCAAATTACCATTTCCATCCAACATAGGGTAAAAGAAATGCTAAAAAAGGGGCATGAGGTCCTCTGTTAAAAGCTGTAGCAGATAGATGGACTTGGGAAATTCACCTACAGACATCACAGCAGTCTACTGAGTCAAGTGAATCAAAAATCTAATGATTCCTCTGACTGTAGACAGTGAAGAAAACGCACACCAGGTCCCCACAGAGCTATGGTAATGACAAAGATATTTGCTTTCATATACTATCAGTTTGTGTTACTGCCATGGCCTCATGGGCTTCAATTCTTCAATAATGAACCGTAAGTTCATTTTGTGGGTAATTTATTTTACTGACATCGAAGCTATACTCAGCCTTTCAATTTTGGGTAGAAATTCCAAACTTTTGTAGATATGTTTTTAGTGAAATTGATGTTAGTGAATTGTTATTTCCATGTTCTCTTAGATTGTTTCAGTGGATATATATATATATACTCTATGCTGATATTGCACAACAAGGTGTTGAAAATGATATGATGATCAAATTATATAACGATGACAGACATTTTATATATAAAAAATTTACTATAACATTAAAAAATACACTCACTGGCCACTTTATTAGGTACCCTGTGCCAGTACTGGGTTGGACCCCCTTTTGCCTTCAGAACTGCATTAATTCTTTGTGACATAGATTCAACAAGGTGTTGGAAACATTCCTCCGAGATTTTGGTCCATATTGACATGAGTTACTGTTGCTTTTCTATCATCTTGAACCCATCTGCCATTCTCCTTTGAAGGCATTTTTGTCCACACAACTGCTCACTGGATATTTTATCTTTTCTGGACCATTCTCTGTAAACCCTAGAGATGGTTGTGCATGAAAATCCCAGTAGATCAGCAGTTTTTGAAATACTCAGGCCAGCTGGTCTGGCACCAACAACCATGCCACATTCAAAGTCACCTAAATCCCCTTGAGTGTATATAAAGTAGACCTACCACAAGTGGTAATAAAGAGTAATAATGCAATAATATTTTCCCAAAGAAAAGAAAACACATACACATATATATATATATATATATATATATATATATATATATATATATATATATATATATATAGTGTGGGGTTGATTTACTAAAACTGGAGAGTGCAAAATCTGGTGCAGCTGTGCATAGAAACCAATCAGCTTCCATTTTTTTTGTCAAAGCTTAATGCAAGCCATACATCGGTTGAATTCCAAAAGAATTTTCTTTAGAAAATTGGAAATTTTGTGCGTTTTGTAATCCGATGGTGCCACCATTGATTTCAAAATTCAAACAACCAAGCCTTTAATTTCACCTTGCGTTGCCAGAGAAATGAATTTTCATGGCCAAGAATTTTCTTTTCTTTCCAGGTCACAGCTCACGCTCATTGCTTTTTTCAATTACATTTCTCACCCGCTTCTTCTATTGTTGATTCGAAATTCATTTGTTTTTCAAAAAATTTCCATCATGCCCAATCACTCAAATTCGATGGTCACACGGAAATCGTCCGTTTCTGTGACCCACTAATGGTGTGAAATTCGAACGGAATTCGACCCGTGTATGGCCGGCTTAACTGAACAAGCTGAAATTAGAAGCTGATTGGCCACCATACACAGCTGCACCAAATTTTGCGCTCTTCAGTTTGAGTAAATCAACCCTGTGTTTATATAGGGCAACCTACTGAGCAAATACTTCTACTTCGCAATAAAATGAAAATGATGTTTATATACACTGCTCAAAAAAAATTAAAGGAACACTTTGAAAACACATCAGATCTCAATGGGGAGAAATATAATGCTGCATATATTAGGAACATAAGGATGCCCCATTGTTTGATGGAAATGAAAATTATCAACCTACAGAGGACTGAATTCAAAGACACCTCAAAAATCAAAGTGAAAAAATGATGCAGCAGGCTAGTCCATTTTGCTGAAATTTCATTGCAGCAACTCAAAATAGTACTCAGTAGTTTGTATGGCCCTCACGTGCTTGTATGCATGCCTGACAACGTTGGGGCATGCTCCTAATAAGACAACAGATGGTGTCCTGGGGTATTTCCTCCCAGATCTGGACCAGGGCATCACTGAGCTCCTGGACAGTCTGAGGTGCAACCTGGCGGCGTCAGAAGGACCAAAACATGATATCCCAGAGGTGTTCTATTGGATTTCGGTCAGGCGAGGGTGGGGGCCATTCAATGGTATCAATTCCTTCATCCTCCAGGAACTGCCTGAATACTCTCACCACATACATTGTCGTGCACCAGGAGGAACCCAGGACCGATTGCACCAGCGTAGGGTCTGACAATGGGTCCAAGGATTTCATCCCGGTATCTAAAGGCAGTCAGGGTGCCATTGTCTAGCCTGTAGAGGTCTGTGCATCCCTCCATGGATATGCCTCCCCAGAGTATCACTGACCCACCACCATAGCGGCCATGCTGAACGTTACAGGCATGTTACAGGCAGCGTAACGTTCTCCACAGCTTCTCCAGACCCTTTCACGTCTGTCACGTCTGTCACATGAGCCACATGCGGCTCTTTACCCACTCTCTGCCTCCTCTCGGTTGGCAGCCCCAAAAGTCCGGGTGAACCTGTCTCATCTCACAGTCCGCCCTGTGCAAAAGGTAAGTGAATTGAAAAGCACAGATGAATTACTATATGAGGGATGAAATACTATATGGGGGGATGCTATATGAGGGATGAATTACTTTATGAGGGATGAATTACTTTATGAGGGATGAATTACTATATGGGGGATGAAATACCAGTGGAGGGACTTGCCAATGAATTTCTGGTGTTCAATGGCAAATGCCAATCGAGCTCTATGGTGCTGGGCAGTAAGCACAGGGCCTACTAGAAGACGTTGGGCCCTCAGACCACCCTCATGAAGCCTGATTGTTTGGGGGGTCAGAGACATGCACATCAGTGGCCTGCTGTTCCACCTTGCACAAAGGAGCAGATACTGGTCCTGCTGATGGGTTAAAGACCTTCTACGGCCCAGTCTAGCTTTCTTAGAGTAACTGCCTGTCTCCTGGAATCCCCTCCATGCTCTTGAGACTGTGCTGGGAGGCACAGCAAACCTTCTGGCAATGGCACATATTGATCTGCCACCATGGAGGAGATGGATTGCCTGTGCAACCTCTGTAGGGTCCAGGTATCGCCTCATGCTACCAGTAGTGACACTGACCCTAGCCAAATGCAAAACTAGTGAAAAACAGTCAACAAAAGATAAGTAGGGAAAAAATGTCAGTGGTCTCCACCTGTAAAACCATTCCTGTCTTGGATGTCATCTCTTTGTTGACCATCTAGTGCACCTGTTGTTAATTTAATTAACACCAAAGCAGCTGAAACTGATTAACAACCCCCTATGCTACTTAACTGACCAGATCAATATCCCAGGAGTTTAATTGACTTGATGCTATACTCAGATTAAAAAGTGTTCCTTTATTTTTTTTGAGCAGTGTGTGTTATATATATATATATATATATATATATATATATATTAGCATAACCCCAAGGGTCCATTCACAACTATGTGTGTACATTATCGTATTAACATGTTAACATGTTTGTTATGGTATTTGAACCCATTCAATCTATTCATTTCCTAGGGATTCTCTAGCATCCACACACCAAAAAAGCACCTGACCCTTTTATTTTCTCATCACAGAGCAACACAGTATGTATTTTTTCAAATGTATGTATAGTGGTGCAGTAAGTGTCTGGGGCATTGGTTACTCTATGGATGCTTATTAGGAAAGCATGGAAGCATCTCCTCCAGACATGTACACAACTAGGGTTGCCACTTCATCCCTTTAAACCCGATTACATATTAATTACACAGGATCTGTGGCTGATTAAGGTGGTAATTAAACTCACTTTGTGCTTTATCTGCATTAGGTTCGCCTCAGAACCTGTGTAATTAATGTGTGTTCGGGTTGTATAATTAATATGTGCTGTGTAATTAATATGTGTGAAACAGGCCCAAAAGTTTCCAGAAAGCAGTTTGGACCCTTTGTCAGTTATACAGAATATATAAAACCTGCCTAGCCAAAGAGCATTTATAACATTTAATTTTTTTAAATGTAATTTTGTATACATACTTTTTGGGAGTTGTGTCACTTTGTTTTATAGACTTTATAGCCTAGTAGACAATTATATCTTAAATCATATTCATAAGGCATATTATACCAATTAAGATGAATATATTTTTCTCTTACAATAAGTTTTTATTAAGATTTTTGCAAAATACAGAGTATAACCCATACAAATATATGTGAGAACAATGCGTCAATAAATTCCAGACTAATAACCATCCAAAATGAATATATTTTTCTATGTGCCACT